ACATATTAAGATTAGTTTTACGATTTAATCTCGCGTTATTTATTCTAATATTATACGATAATACAATATATTATTATAAGCATATTATTAATACAATAATACAGTAATATATTTCTGTATTATAAAATAATAATAAAAAAGCAAGATTAAATCGTAAATGTACCTACTTTTAATTATGTTTCCGTCTCGCGAAAACCGAAGGATATATTATTATACTATATTATGTTTTCACTAAAGCATATACTTTTTTAACTGATCTAAAAGTAACCATCTCTCGTGCTATCAACAAATATTGCTCCGTGATGAACACACTCGCCGTGGCCTAAAGGATAAGACGTCCGGTGCATTCGTATCTAGCGATGCTCCGGTGTTCGAATCCCGCCGGCGGGTACCAATTTTTCTAATGAAATATGTACCTAACAAATCTTCACGATTGACTTCCACGGTGAAGGAATAACATCGTGTAATAAAAATCAAATCCGCAAAATTATAGTTTGCGCAATTACTGTTGGTAGGACTACTTGTGAGTCTGCACGGGTAGGTACCACCGCCCTGCCTATTTCTGCCGTGAAGCAGTAATGTGTTTCGGTTTGAAGGGTGGGGCAGCCGCTGTACCTATACTGAGACCTTAGAACTTATATCTCAAGGTGGGTGGCGCATTTACATCGTAGATGTCTATGGGTTCCAGTAACCACTTACCAGCTGGGCTGTGAGCTCGTCCACCTATCTAAGCTATAAAAAAAAAACACAGCTTTACGTAATATTTTGAAATACTAAAAAAATAGTATTATATGTATAATGGTACATCACGCATCTACCGTGACTTGATAGATAAGACATGATATAAACTTATAACTGCCATATCATTAAATATTACCAAATTGTATTAAGTTATATCTATTTTAGTTGTCAAGTAATTTTTCGGTTGTGCTTAAAGAAAGTTCGAAATGCAGACAGGCGTTATTTAAATGCAAATTAGAATTCGTTCCTCTTCACAATACGTGTTGGCTTGGACAAAATACGTAAAAAAACAGAAATCTGTTGATTAATAGCTCATATTCGGAAGTACTATTGTAATCTTAGATATCTTGTTTTAGAAACAAAAAGTGTAGTATCTTACTACGGCCAAAACAAACGTTTTTTTTTTCTTTTCATTTCTTTAATGAAAACAATCATACGACTCTTAAATGACCCACGTTTATAACAATACGCAACCTTTCATTTCTTGGCTTATTTCACAAAAAGTATGATTAATGTATGCATGATTAAATTATTCCCGAATACGTTTACATATTTCATAAGATGCATAATGTATGGTTAGATAAACCAAAACATATTAAATTTAATTATGAAAATTACGCTTGACAACGCGCAGCAGCGGCGCCATCTTGTAAATTCATGAGTTTTCCCGCCATCGTTAATTTGTGTAATCAACTGTATTATTCAACAAGATGTTTTCGTCTAGACGTATTTATTATTCTTGATAATGTCTTGATAAGATTACCTCTGACAAGTTCTTTTTAAATCTTTTTTTTTTCTTCAATTATTTGTAAAAGCAACCGCTGCTTCCTTGTATAAAATATGGCAACTTTTTTTTGGGTGTAGACAGTAGTCAGTCCTTTGGTTTTAGGCAGTTGTGAGAGTGTAGCCGCTGACGTTCCCCGGATCCAAGAGTATTGAATATAAGTGAATAAACGCATTACACGGCTGAAATAGGCAGGATGGTGGTACCTGCCAGTGATGATAACTACTGATTTATTTATTTATTAAGTTGCACCGACAAAGTGATCATCAATACAAAACATTGAACAATTGACAAAAGTTCATGGCAGATGTCACCTCAATTATAGAAGCAATCGACAGTGCATTAACATAAAAAAAAAATACAGATTACTGCATCGCTAAAGATCACTAAGCCGTATCAGATGAACGCCGAATTAATGTGAGAGATAGCAGAGGCTATGAAAATTTCCAATGAAGGTGTTTTTCTTACTGGTGGTAGGATCCATTGTGAGTCCGCGCGGGTATGTACCACCACCCTACCTATTTCTGCCGTGAAGCAATAATGCGTTTCGATTTGAAGGGTGTGGCCAGCCGCTGTAACTATACTTGAGACCTTAGAACTTATACCTCAAGGTGGGTGGCGTATTTACGTCGTAGATGTCTATGGGCTCTAGTAACCACTTAACACCAGGGGGGCTATGAGCTCGTCCACCCATCTAAGCAGTTAAAAAAAATGTCGTTTATTAAATCAAGAGTTAGGCACGAGAAAGCTGTGCGCGCGCCGGATGCCGCATTTGTTCACGTCAGACCAAAAACGTGTTCGAACGAAAATTTCTAAACGCTCTATTTGCGTAGTTTAGGTGAAATAAATCCGAGTTTTGGCGCCAATTAATAACTGTATTATAGACGAAAGTTGGATACACCATTATAAGCTCGAAACAAAAATACAGTTAAAACCGTGGCCTGTAAAGGGGAAAACGGTTTCAGAAAAAGCAAAAACTGTTTTTCTGACTAGAAAATTGATGGCCACTGTTTTTATGGGATAGTCGTAGAGTTATCTTAATAAATTTTCTTCAATATTTTTTTTTATTTCCCTTGTAGGCAGACGAGCATACGGCCCACCTGATGGTGAGTGGTCACCGTCGCCCATGGACTTCAGCAATGCCATTTCTCACCCCCACAAAGATTCTCATCATTAACGCCCCCGCAACTGGTGTAGGGAGTCCAACACTCATATAAATATTAGCCTATCCATTAAGTACATGTATTTTCTACATGGATACCAAGTTTCAAGTCAATTGGATACAGTAGTTATAACGTTCATCCATAAAAACCACTATAGATTTATATATTAGTACAGATATACCTACATATCGACGCTTGAAAGGCACACGTGACTAAGCGACAATGCGTGAACTTTACAGTAGACTAATTTAAAGTTGAAATACCTGAAAACAAAATTTATTTTAAAGAATCTAGCTGTAGTAGAATCTAGCTAGTAGCTGTAGGATTGAAATGATTTTAATAGACCTAGAAATATATATTTTTTGCGCATCGAATATGGTTATTGCCTATCATTTATGTACAAAGCAGTTATTGTCGCTTAGTCATGTTTGCCTTTCAAGCGTCGATATACATATAATAATTAAAATCTATTATGTAACATTAAAAAACTAATATATATTTATTACACGCAATGTTTGTCAAGTATTCGCACGGGGTCAACGCTTTCGAGTGACACAGAAAGAAGCGTGTTCACGAGCTACCTACGTTATACATTGCTGGTTCACAAATCGTCTTCTCGCATTAAAACTATATAATCTCAAAACTTACTAATTTAGAGGTTTTTAAAGGTTAACATGTGATATTCAATCACCGGAACCGATGACCTCGTCGACTCACGCCGTATCACTTAGGGAGAAGGCCTTAGGGCAGAAATGGATGAGGACTAGTGATGTCACACATGAGGGTACCGTTCCGTTCGAGAAGCAAGCAGAAGTGACAGATGTCAAGTCACGAAAGCACCGTCAAATCGCGACCCTTGTTGCCGTGGCAAAAACTCTAATCGTCTTCTCGCATTAAAACTATATAATCTCAAAACTTACTAATTTTACAGGAACATGTTATATTTTTAATATTAATCATCTTTGCAATATTTATTTTTTATTTTTTACGAGATACATTATCTGTCTTTTAAAGTAAGATAAAATTATGTATTAATTTTGTTAATAGTAGTCAAAGTATAGGTAAACTAAGAAAAAAAAAACTAAAACTAAACTACGCTCTTTTGACAGTTTTTATGAGAAAAATACTGGTGATATCAAATGTTTCCGCATATTAACTCAATTTCGAATATTTTTGGAAATTGTACACTTTTAATGCAAAAAGACGAAATATGAACGTTCAAAAGGCGAAACGCTAAGTTGAGTTACACAAATATTGTTTTCCGTTTGTATTGGGGTAATAGCATGCATATTTAGTTTATATTTGAGAAACGATTTTCTTATATCCTAAATAATTACCTAAGTGAAATTCCTGATTAAAATAAAAAAAACAAAATAATAATTAGATTTACACAACGCGCGATACGAAAAAAAAAAAACAATCAAAAGTTCAACGAACCTGAGAGTATTATTGGAACAAGTGCGTGTTGCGATACGAAGCTATGTAGATGCAAAATATATTGTTAGAAAAATATAAATTTTTTTTATAGACGTAAGCCATGAAAACGGGACGCAGCTGTAAAAATAACGCACTCAAATACCGATGTGTTTAGTACCGAATGAACTCACGTAAAAAATTGCCGACAACGTTTGTCGGGTAACAAACATGAAAAATCTTTGTTATTTCCAGACATACACACTGGGCAAATTAAAATCAATTTTCCTTGACAGGCCTGCTAACGGATGGAACGTGTTAGCTGCTGATATAAAAATATCTAAACCAGCCTTTCCCAAAATGGGCGATAACGCCCCCTTGGCGCTGCAGGCTTAATGGGGGGCGGTAATAGACCCAGATAAAAATGGGGGCGTAGTGTAGAGCCTTGGGAGGCGATTTGTAATTTCATCTCGGAGGACTCTTAGATACCGACTGAGCTCTCGCTATAGTGGTTTTTTAAGTAGATAGAAAAAATGGGGGCGCTAAAAAATTATATATTCTCAAAGTGGGCAGTAGACAAAATAAGTTTGGGAGCCACTGATCTAAACAAACGTGATATGTAGATAAGCAGAGGAACAAGCCACGTAAATATTCGTGAAAGATTGTTTGAGATGAGACTGTGTTTCTGCCCACTGAGTTTCTCGCTGGATCTTCTCAGTGGGTCGGGTTTCCGATCCGGTGGTAAATTCTGCGAAGCACTGCTCTTGCTAGGTTCAGTGTTAGCATCACTCCGGTTTGAGCCCCGTGAGCTCACCTACTAGTTAAGGTTACGCTGCTGCAAGGCTAACAGCTTAGGAAGGAAAAAAAGGCGGTATTCATGTACGAACTAGAAGACGTACCTGATTAGTGGTGAGGTCCCATTGGTCCGTCACAAAAGACCGTCTGCTGTACAAGAAGACCGGGACCTGGTGATCTTTAACGGGAGCCGGATCGCTGTTCACCCGGACCACGGTCAGGTGGGTCGTTGTCGTACCAACTGTTCAACAGAAATAAGAGAGAAATAAGAGACATACATTTTATGATTGTAACGGCCGTCTGGTGTAGTGGTAAGTGACATGGTCACTACACAAGGGCGTCGCGGGTTCGAATCCCACCAAGGGAAGATATTTGTGTGATATAAATATAAAATATCTTTTCCAGGTTTATGGATGTATATTATATATATGTATGTGTATAATAAAAATCTTACATTTATTTCCGTTATCTGGTACTTGTAACACAAGTTCTTTACGAACTTAGCACGGGACCAGTTAACGTGGTGTGATTGTTAGTAAATATATATATGTATGTAATAAGACAAAAGATATTTTTTATAGGCATTATTACTTTAGAACTTTTTTATAAGTGAATCAATTTTGATGGTATTTTTTTTAAACTGATGTTTCTCATGTTATCCCAGTTATTTTTTTATCGAGATTGGACAGGTAGTTTTTTAGTTATTCTTTTTTTATTTTATTTATTGCTTAGATGGGTGGACGAGCTCACAGCCCACCTGGTGTTAAGTGGTTACCGGAGCCCAAAGACATCTACAACGTAAATGCGCCACCCACCTTGAGATATAAGTTCTAAGGTCTCAGGTATAGTTACAACGGCTGCCCCACCNTCCCAGTTATTTTTTTATCGAGATTGGACAGGTAGTTTTTTAGTTATTCTTTTTTTATTTTATTTATTGCTTAGATGGGTGGACGAGCTCACAGCCCACCTGGTGTTAAGTGGTTACCGGAGCCCAAAGACATCTACAACGTAAATGCGCCACCCACCTTGAGATATAAGTTCTAAGGTCTCAGGTATAGTTACAACGGCTGCCCCACCCTTCAAACCGAAACGCATTACTGCTTCGCGGCAGAAATAGGCAGGGTGGTGGTACCTACCCGTGCGGACTCACAAGAGGTCCTACCACCAGTAATTATTTCAGTATAGTTATTCTTAAGAATGCACTTGTTTTCGACTTCAAAATCTTGTATTATGTTACACGATGTTATTCGTTAATCGTGGATGTGGGAATAAAAGTACCTAATATAAAGGTACTTTTATTCCCTACCTAATCGTCAGTAGCCTAAGGGACTATTCCAACTTCGCACCCGCCGGCAGGTGAGCTCGTGGGCTCAACTTGAGAGAATTGCTAACACTAGCCCTAGCAAGAGCAGTGCTTCGCTGAATCTCTCATACCCGATCCTGTAGACCGAATGGTAAACAGTCGACGCCGTCCAAAACACGTCATTACGGATCCTCCCGATCCATTAACGGTGCTTTTAGGTACCTCAAGCACCGGTCACCGTCCTCGTCGAACCCGTCGCTTGCGACGAAGGGCCCGACAAGTGAATTAGCCCATAGACACAACCCACTGAGTTTCTCGCCGGATCTTCTCAGTGGGTCGCGTTTCCGATCCGGTGGTAGATTCTGCGAAGCACTGCTCTTGCTAGGGTCAGTGTTAGCATCACTCCAGTTTGAGCCCCGTGATCTCACCTACTAGTTAAGGTTACGCTGAAATAACCTCTCAAGGCTATCATCAGCTTAGGTAAAAAAAAAACTGAATCTACTACCGAATCGGAATCGCGACCCACTGAGAAGATCCGGCGAGAAACTCAGCGGGTTAATTAGGTACGTGTTTATTCATCACCATTAAAAGCATCTTGCTCATTATTTGGCTTCTGTTTCTTCGTATTTTCATTAGACGCAGTGCTGTTCGTTTTTGGCGGCCGCAATTAATTAACAATTGAATGCATAATTAACTCTGCACTACCTTGAGGCATTAAGTCCGCCAATGTAAATTATTACTTTACTAACTATTATTTTGATTCAGGTTCATTTGATTTGGTTTTTGTTTTTAGTCATTCTGATAAATTTTAATTTTATTGTATTTTGATTTAGATTTTATGTAATTGTATGTGAAAATTTATGGGCTTAAGTTGCCTGAAATAAACGCATTTCATTTCATTCATTACATTAAGTGTATAAAAAAAAAAAATAACATCTAAAGTTTGTGTCATCTGTTGTAATTAATCTCTATCGAAAATCAGCTCATTACATAGAATCTGTAGAAAATAGATAAACGAATCTATTATAAACCTTAATATACACAACATAACATTGTAATCTCAGTCGATAAACTTGTTATCATTGATTAGATAACGCTGTAACATAACTATGATAATGTAATAATAACTTTGTTGCATATGTATCACGAAAAACATTACATAACACGGCATTTTGAGTTTTGCTTTTCGTTTTTTTTAAAATAATTACTGTAAAAATAAAACTCGCTAAATTATAATTTGCGTAATTACTGGTGGTAGGACGTCTTGTGAGTCCGCACGGGTAGGTACCACCACCCCGTCTATTTCTGCCGTGTAGCAGTAATGCGTTTCGGTTTGAAGGGTGGCGCAGCCGTTGTAACTATACTGAGACCTTAGAACTCATATCTATAGGCGGGTGGCGGCATTTTTGTTGTAGATGTCTATGGGCTCCGGTAACCACTTAACACCAGGAGGACGGTGAGCTTGTTCACCAATCTAAGCAATAAAATTTTTTATGTAAGAGTTTGCTTGAAGGTCTGCTTTTGTTTACCGCACAAACAATGTTAAACATTTGCATTATGATAAAACAAATTATGAGGAAAATTAAAATAATATATCATATTTTCTCTCTTGTATTTTTGTAGATTTTGGTAAATTGTAGTCTAGACAAAATTGCTATAATAATACTTAACAGTTTTAAGGTTTAATCTCGCGTGTTTTATTGTCATTTATAATTAATATTTGTGTTGTTTCAAACGCTTTACCGTTTTCGTGGTAGCGGACGACAATGACATTCAAATGTTTTTTTTTTTTTTATTGCTTAGATGGATGGACGAGCTCACAGCCCACCTGGTGTTAAGTGGTTACTGGAGCCCATAGACGTCTACAACGTAAATGCGCCACCCACCTCGAGATATAATTTCTAAGATCTCAGTATAGTTACAACGTTTACCCCACCCTTCGAACCGAAACGCATTACTGCTTCACGGCGGAAATAGGCGGGGTGGTGGTACCTACCTGTGCGGACTCCGAAGAGGTCCTACCACCAGTGAAATATACATGAACGAGTATTATTAAAACAAATATGATTCGTCTTAATACACGAATTTGAAACGTATTGAAAACGAAAGGAATTTGTATTTTAAGACAATTTGTATAAAGACGAAATTAATTACAAGCTTATCATATTATATTGAGGTACGGTAAAACGAAAAAAAAAAAAAAACTCGATCTGCTCTACTTTTTTAAATCATAATAATTGATAATTGGAAGACTCTGGCTTGTTTGAGTCCAATCAGCTAAAATAGCCTGAGTAAAACGTGAAGTCGAAGTCAATCGCAGACGCAGACGCGCATAGAATCATTTCGCCAATGCATTTGCCAACATCATTAGCTACATCTACCAAGGTAGATTATTAGGGCAAAGACCCCCACTCTATGCGATATAGCCTAAGCCAGCATTCGCATATATCAGTATATTGGCCACCCTGAGGAGACACCATAATAATGTTTTAACATCAAATGAGCGATTTGAAACGGACAGGGATAATCTGTGGCTTAATTTGTTTATGAAAGTTCATCGACACGAAAGCCAGTAAACATCTTGTCTTTATACCACAGAAGATAAATCGTAAATTATGTTTTAAAATAGTTCTACAAAACACGGAAATGATCCGTAATGAGCTGAACAGGAAAGTGGGGGTGAGAAGATGGGGGCAGACTTCTGTCCGCCTCAAAATTTTGCCCCCTATTTAGATACTAAACGAAAGGCTTTTTTTCCTACCTAAGCTGATGGTCTTGAGAGACCATATCAGCGTAGCCGGGCGAGTAGGTGAGCTCACGGGGCTCAAACCTGATGTTGTTGCTAACACGAACCCTAGCAAGAGCCGTGCTTCGCAGAATCTACCACCGAAACGAAACCCACTGAGAAGATCAAGAAAGGCAATTAACCAAACCAAAAAGCCAAGATGGAAACTAATGTTCGACTATTTTCAAATAAATAAATAAAAACTGACATTATTTCCTCATTCTAGGCATGTAAATATGCATAGTAATTATAATATAGCGTACACAACAATGTGTAATAACTGGCAAACATTTTACAAGACGCGAACATGCGAGATAATAGAGAAGATTCGACTCGAACATTATCGGCCAACTGATGTGTTACGAAGCATAAATATAACGAAGTTTCGTTCTTGCTAAGGGCTCATTCACACGAATCGGTTAAAACGCGCGTTTAATATTAATTAGTATTATTAATATCGGTTAGACAGACGACCTTTTTTTTTTTATTGCTTATATGGTTGGACGAGCTCACAGCCCACCTGGTGTTTAGTGGTTACTGGAACCCATAGACTTCTACAACGTAAATGCGCCACCCACCTTGAGATATAAGTTCTAAGTTCTCAGTATAGTTACAACGACTACCCGACCCTTCAAACCGAAACGCATTACTGCTTCACGGTAGAAATAGGCGGGGCGGTGGTACCTACCCGTGCGGACTCACAAGAGGTCCTACCACCAGTAAAACTCAGTGTCTATTGGGATTATATATGTACGTCACAAGATATATCTAGGGACAAGTTAACTATAAATTTTACTGAACAAAAGCTATCCCGCTCTTCAAACGCGAAAGGACCCTAGACGATATTAGAACAATAATTCGGAATGTGGATGTTGGAATCGACATTGTTTTGGGACTGCTTTAAATTTAGCTCATTCTTACGGTGATCAAGGAACTAAAATAACGCGGAATTTTGCCGGATTACGTGGACAAAAATAAAAATTTATTACAAGCTACACAATGTGCTTTCGTCTTCTCGGTGTTCGCACGTCATTTATGCCCATCGAATTGAACCCACTAAGACATGATTTTGGCACTTGCCTTTTTTTTGAAGTGTAACTTCTTTAGAATCGTTGTGATTTCAAACTCGATGAAACGAAAAAATAAGTCCATAGAGACACAAACACATAAATAAATATTTACTAACAATCACGCCACGTTAACTGGTCCCGTGATAAGTTCGTAAAGAACTTGTGTTACAGGTATCAGATAACGGAAATAAATGTAAGATTTTTATTATACACATACATATATTTAATATAAATCCATAACCCTGGAAAAGACATTTTTATATTTATCATACAAATATCCTCCCTTGGCGGGATTCGAACCCGCGGCCCCCTTGTGTAGTGACCATGTCACTTACTACTACACCAGGCGGCCGTTAAATGTATAGGATTCAGACGGCGAGAGAATGAGATAGAACACATTATACGTGAAGTTAAAATATCAATTCACACACCTCATACTATAAAAGATGATTTACAATTATTTACTAATGGCAAAATTTTACATATACTTAAGACATTTAGGATAATTGTATTTTAATTTTCGAAGGTTTCACTTCTACCACGTGTGAATTGCACACATGTTTTTTTTTACTTATGCTGATAGCCTTGAGAGGCTATTTCAGCTTCGCCCTAACGTGTAGGTGAGCTCACGGGGCTCAAACCGGAGTGTTGCTAGCACTAGCCCTAGCAAGAGCAGTGCTTCGCAGAATCTACCACCGCATCGGAAACGCGACCCACTAAGAAGATTCGGCGAGAAACTCAGTGGGCTGTGTCTGTGGGAGCACTTGCGTGAACGTTCCACCTAGTACCACTAAGGCATAGCGGCGCGCGAAAATATTCCACTGGACAATGCTAAAATTCGTAATCTAGACATTTAAATAACTGGTGGTAGGACCTCTTGTGAGACCGCACGGGTCGGTACCACCGCCCTACCTATTTCTGCGTGAAGCAGTAATGCGTTTCAGTTTGAAGGGTGGGGCAGCCGTTGTAACTATACTGAGATCTTAGAACTTATATCTCAGGGTTGGTGGCGCATTTACGTTCTAGATGTCTATGGGCTCCAGTAACCACTTAACACCAGGAGGGCTGTGAGCTCGTCCACCCACCTAAGCGATAAATAATTAAAAAAAACGCGTACTAAGCGCCGGTTAATAGCTTAGATCGGTGTAGTGAGTTTAAACTTTGCCAAGGCCCGATATTTTAGATACGGGTCGCTAATTGTGCGCGTTACGTCTTGGTGGTGTCAATTTTAGCGAGTTTAATTATAGCGCTAATGTTGGACAAAGTTACTAAGCGGTAACACTGTCAAGTTACAAACCTTACTGTGGCGTAAGCTTTTTTTTGGGTAGGTTAGATTCTGCGTATCATCAAACTAATTATATTCATAGACTAGCGACCCGCCTTCGCTTCGCTTCGAAAACATTAAATCACAAATGAAAAAAAAAAAAAAAAAGAATAAATAAAAAAAAGTAGCCTATGTTCATCAGGGACAATGTCGGCTTCTAATGGAAAAAGAATTTTTCAAATCGGTCCAGTAGTTTCGGAGCCTATTCGAAACAAACAAACAAACAAATCTTTCCTCTTTATAATATTAGTATAGATACCTTGAAAATGTCACCGGCGCGATACAAGCTGATGTCAAACTGTAAAAGCATAGGTTCTGGTGTATGAGATAAAAAGGTTGAGAGCCACTGGTCCAGCGATATCGCGCGGTCTCGGCTTATATTTGATCTAATCGCAAATATCACATTTATATGGTACTAGCCATACTCGTCCACTTCGCTGGGCATTTAAAATTAACATTATTATTCACTGTTAATAGTTAAAGTTTGTAAACTATTATGATTGTATTTTATACTTCTATAATCACAAATTTCGGGCTACACTATAAAAAATATTAATAAAGACAAACAATATTTAATCTATTCTCAATTTGATCACAGATGTCAAGAACAAAAGTTTGACAATAAATAGTATGCATGCGTGTGTGCGTCAAATACATGGTATGTAGTGTGTGTAATGTTTTCTTTATTGATTTAATGTATCTTTTATGCATTATTTAAAAAAAAAATTGTACTTCTTCTCTATAAGTGTGGAAAATTTCATACTCCTCCGTCCGCGCAATTTTCGTTAAAATGGATACAAAGTTTTTGCTTCACGTATTAATATATAAGATAGTATTAGTATAGAAGTATAGATTTATTGGCACGCACTTAAAATAATCAGAATGTCGGACTATATCTATTAATCGCACGTTCGACTACACACACACAGCTCCACGCATTTCGTATTAGTCGAGTGAAGCCGTTCGCAACAGTGGGCCATAGCAACAAAACGACATTATCTTCTTTGCCTAGATTATATAGGACATTATCTTCAATATATTAAATCGTTATGTTTATTAATACCGGTTCGGTGGTGTGGGCAGTTGTGCACTATTCGTACGTGCGTGGGATGTTAATAAACTGATTTGCATGTATTATATTAAAATCGGTAGCTCTAGACTTTAGACGCGGCATAATGAACGTACGTACCTAACAAATGTTCACGATTGACTTCCACGGTGAAGAAATAACATCGTGTAACAAAAACCAAACCCGCAAAATTATAATTTGCGTAATTGCTGGTGGTAGGACCTCTTGTGGATCCGTGCGGGTAGGCACCACCGCCCTGCCTATTTCGCCGTGAAGCAGTAATGCGTTTCGGTTTGAAGGGCGGGGCAACCGTTGTAACAATACTTGAGACCTTAGAACTTATATCTCAAGGTGGGTGGCGCATTTACGTTGTAGATGTCTATGGGCTCCAGTAACCACTTAACACCAGGTGGGCTGTGAGCTCGTCCACCCATGTAAGCAATAAAAATAATAATAATATAATCACTCGTTGACTCGCAGTTTTGAAAATATCCGTTTGGCCTATCATTAGTACTTACCAGAAATTTAGCAATTTAGCTAATTTCAATTTAACGAGACCCATTGAGAAGTTACTAGGATTCATTGGAAGGCTATAAAAATAAGCTATTGTTGCGGAAGCTTTTGAAACGAGCTTTGTTAGGAATATCTTTGAAGTATACAATAATATTGTTATTCAAACAACGTATTTTTGTGAATGTACAATAGAATAGGATCGTGCGCGATTAAATATTTTTTTATTGATGACTTTGTATGTTTTTTTTATTTACATTTTTATTTTGTTTTCATATTACGTTATAAGGTTACCAGCATAACCCGGTCAAATTTTATTGCGACAATTTTGAATATTTTGTATATTTTATGTATGGAATATTCCATCGAAGATTTAAAAAAAAAAAGGTTCATACTGTTATGGTGTGCGAATACCGCTCTGTCGTCAAATAGCAGGAAAAAAACTAGTTCCATCGGAAATGTTCTGGAAAATTGTAGACATGTCGTATCTATACAAATATATAAATCTACAGTGGTTTTTACGGATGTTCCGTTATAACTACTGGACCGTGCATCCGAAATGTTCTGGAAAATTGTAGACATGTCGTATCTATACAAATATATAAATCTACAGTGGTTTTTACGGATGTTCCGTTATAACTACTGGACCGTGCATCCGATTGACTTGAAACTTGGTGTCCATGTAGAAAATACATGTACTTAATGGATAGGCTAATATTTATATTTGGACTCTCTAATAATAATGACATAAAGATTCCGTTACAAACATACATACGTCTGAGGCTAATAAAAGCTTATTCAAAATGAAGCTCACTGAGTTTCTCGCCGGATCTTCTCAGTGGATTGCGTTTCCAATCCTGTGGTATATTCTGCGAAGCACTGCTCTTGCTAGGGTTCGTGTTAGCAACGTCGTCAGGTTTGACCCTGTGAGCTCACCTACTAGTTAAGATTACGCTGAAATAGCCTCTCAAGGCTCTCAGCTAGGTAGGAAAAAAAAAACTAAATGAAGGCGAATGGATCACCTGAAGCGAACCGAGAGAAGTGATTTGCGATCTTGACCTTAAGCGATGAGCACATTAAGGACTCACCGGTTAGCGTGCACATTCTCCTGCAGTTGATGTCCTGCATGACCTGCCGCATCAGACAGCCGAGGTCCTTCGCGTCACCTGACGTCGACTGCTTCGACAACCACTCTGACTCCAACTCCATCGATAGCTACGGACAAACATAACATTAAACATATCGACTGTGTTGTACGTGCAACTGTGCATGCGGCAGAGATGCGAATGTTGAGATGGATGTGTGGAGTGACAAGAATGGACAAGATAAAGTTTTTTTTTATTGCCCTTGTAGGCAGACGAGCACACGGCCCCCCTGATGGTGAGTGGTTACCGTCGCCCATGGACTTCAGCAATGCCAGGGGCAGAGCCAAGCCGCTGCCTAACGCTTAATACTCTCCACAAGCCTCCTTCGAAGAAAGACATGTCATAGCGCTCGGGAAACACCGTGGAGGGGAGCTCATTCCAAAGCCGGATGGTACGTGGCAAAAAAAGACCTCTGGAAACGCACTGTCGATGAACGCAGCGGTTCCAGATTATATGGATGAACTCTGCTCCGATGGCGGGAAGTGCGATGATAAAAAGCAGGTGAGGGGATCATCTCAAACAATTCCTCAGAGCACTCCCCACATAAGTGCTGTTATCACGCTTTAAACATAAAGCTGCCGACTCAAAAGCTTTAGAATAAGCATAAGCACATAATAGTGGGCTTGGCCAATTTTGCGTACTTCTCTCGCTTAAGATGAAAAATATTCAATAATATGTTTAAATTTTATAAACGTTTTCGGTACCTATTTTTGAATCTGAGATGAGCCACTCAAATCGGGTCAATGTTATACACAGTATTAATACAAGCGACTCTTTGTCCGTTGCTAGTTTGTTTTGCTTTTTATTATGAAGAAAATAATAATATATATCTTTTTATTTTTACGGCCATCTGGTGTAGTGGTAAGTGACATGGTCACTACATAAGGGGGTCGCGGGTTCGAATCCCGCCAAGGGAAGATATTTGTATGATAAATATAAATGTATTTTCCAAGGTTATGGATGTATATTAAATATATGTATGTGTATAATAAAAATCTTACATTTATTTCCGTTATCTGGTACATCTGTAACACAAGTTCTTTACGAACTTATCACGGGACCAGTTAACGTGGCGTGATCGTTAGTAAATATTTATTATTATTTATTTTGTTTCTACTTTAAATTTTGTCAGTAGGGACGTTAATTTTTAACATAGCTATATATCAAAAAATTATTATTACTGGCGAGCTCACAGTGTTGGTATCGCCGCCCTACCTATTTCTGCCGTGAAGCAATAATGCGTTTCGGGTTTAAGAGCGGGGTGGCTATTGTATACTGTAAAACCTTAGAACTCAAGTCTTAAGATGGCGGCACTACTTTGTTGATTTCTATGGGCACCGGTAACCACTTAACACCAGATGGGCCGTGAGTTCGTTAACCCATGAAAGCAATAACAAAATTTATGATCGTAACATTTACTGAAAACTGGTAATAAGTTCTGGTAGCTGGTAACTGGTAATAATTTCTAGGCAGCGGCTTGGCTCTGCCCCTGGCATTGCTGAAGTCCATGGGCGACGGTAACCACTCACCATCAGGTGGTCCGTATGCTCGTCTGCCTACAGAGGCAATAAAAAAAATAAAAAAAGTGAACTCTATAATTTTAGCAGAATTTCGATTTTATCTTTTATGAGATCAATATAATTTGACATTTCTATGTACGTTCTCTTTCTACGTCCTAACAGTCGTGTTTTATTTAAATTGGCATTAAAATCGTCGCCAACATTAAGACTTGAAGTCCTTGATTTTGAAAATTTCCGCCGTTTGCGATCTTAGCGAATCTCAATGCTTTTTTTTCTTAAGTACCTAATTCAGTAACCGCGAGGGCTTACACTAGATTCACCGAATAGGTGAGCTCACGGGGCTCTAACCTGACGACGTTGCTAACACTAACCCTAGCAAGAGCAGTGCTTCACAGTATCTACCACCGGCTCGGAAACGCGACCCACTGAGAAGACGCGATGAGAAACTCAGTGGGCTGTGTCTGTAGGTTAATTTACTAGCCGAACCCTTCGTCACAAGCCACGGGTTCGACGAGAACGATGACTAGTGCTTGATGTACCTAAAAGCACCGTTAATAGATCGGGAGGATCCGAGATGACGTGATCTCATTGCGACAAAAAAACCATACTTACGAGATACTCTGTGAGTTTTTTGACTAAGGGCTCAAGATGAACCGTCCTGGCCCACGCGTCGCACACGAAGCAAAGATTAAAATAATACGCGTTGCGGGCGTACTTCTTATTGTCGATCCTCACTGGGAAACCCAGGATCTTCGAACCGAGAAGGGTCCTGAAAGAAGGTTCCTTTATCAGTCTTTATGAATATTAGAACTGCCTAACTAATGTTGACTTACGATGCAGAGGGCATATTGATGAAGTGGACTTCACAGTTTCACCCTCAATTTTATTAGTATATGCTATGACTATGATTGGTTATTTTATTAGGGATTTTATGACCTGGTAACTAAGACCTCTAAGTCATGTCTTATTTATATTCTTGTTTTTATGAAAAATAATAATATGACGTTAGTCAACTGGGATAAGTCGTGAGCATTATAGACTTTATAATATAAAGTAGTAATACTCTTTAATTCAGCCGATACTATTTCATTTCACGATTATCCCTTCCCAGTGGAACTTGTGAGCATCTGTTTAGAAAATTTTGTTCAAATAGGACGGACGCAGCCGGATCAACGGGCGCACTAGGCAGTAGGTAAAAAAACTCGTTATACCGACGGAAGCATCTGTAATGTTGATGATGACTGATGATAATAGCTTATCCGGTTAACACATCAGAAGTACCTTTGGCCCCATAAACGTTACTCGTATAGTCTATTCGGTGTGAGTCAACTAGGATCAATTTCTCCATTGAAGTAATCGCGTTCTTTTAAGTTGGTACTGAGCAGTTTTGGACACATTGCTCGATAGGAGGGTCACAGCAGCTGAGCAGCTGATGGTGACGGGTAGTTTTTTTTTTTAATTGCTTTATATGGGTGGATGAGCTCACAGCCCACCTGGTGTTAAGTGGTTACTAGACCCCATAGACATCTACAACGTAAATGCGCCACCCACCTTGAGATATAAGTTCTAAGGTCTCAGTATAGGTACAGCGGCTGCACCACCCTTCAAACCGAAACGCATTACTGCTTCACGGCAGAAAGAGGCAGGGCGGTGGTACCTACCCGTTCGGACTCACAAGAGGTCCTACCACCAATAATTACGCAAATTACGCAATTGCGAGTTTGATTTTTATTATTCGATGTTATTCCTTCACCGTGGAAGTCAATCGTGAGCATTTGTTAAGTACGTGTTTCATTAGAAAAATTGGTACCCGCCTGCGGGATACGAACACCGGTGCATCGCTAGATACGAATGCACACGACGTCTTATCCTTTAGGCCACAACGACTTCAACCGTAATATGTAAATCTAAGGCTCACGAAAACCGAAGAGATTATGATGATGCTAAGCGGTCACCCTTGCTTATAGTTATGACACCGTGAATAACACCCCCCCATCTTAAAATATAGGTTCAAAATCTCAACGTTATTGTATGATGACTATTCTATTATTTCAGGTCGAAATGTATGCCTGATTCGACGCTGAAGAATAGGTCACAGGATGGAGGCACACAACTGTGAGCCCTAAAATGATTGGGTTTATCAAAAAGTCGGTAGGCGGCGGCTTTGCTCTGCCCCTGGCTTTGCTGAAGTCCATGGGTGACGGTAACCACTCACCATCAGGTGGGACGTATGCTCGTCTGCCTATAAGGGCAATAAAAAAAAAGTCGCATTATACCTCTAATGTACGTAGTTTTAAGACCGTGTAGCTTAAAAATAAATTTAATTTAATTCTTTCACAGGCTTTTGATGTTTGTGAAGGTTATTTGAATAACAGATGTTTTTATATGATGATAAATTATTTTGTTAATTTCCGCTCGGCTCTTATCTGCACAGCATGTGAATTATTCAAATAATTAAAATATTATTACATTTTTGAAATGAAAACTTCTTTAGAATCGTTGTGATTTCAAACCGGATGCAACGAAAAAAACGACAAGTAAGAGACACAAATACAAAAATGTGTAGGATGAAGCCAGCAAAGAATGAGACAGAAATATACATACTATTTAATACAGCGCCATCTGTGAGATTTTTTAATACTAACGTGTGTATGAAAGCTCTTGTAGTGAATTTTTATTTAGGACTAGCTGATTCGTAGTGCCTCAATCGATAAATAAAAGACCTAAACTTTTATATAGAATAAACTTAAAACAAACAAAAGGAATCCGTCCGACGGGGGACACGTCAAAGGGAAAACAAAATTGTTATTTTTATTTAATTCCGAGAATTTTCATATTTTTATACCTTTTAAACCTTCTCTGGACTTCCACAAATAATTCAAGACCAAAATTAGCCAAATCGGTCAAGCCGTTTTCATGTTATGTCGTGACAACGGAAAACGGGTTTCATTTTTATATATAATATATAGATTATACGTGAAATTAAAATATCAATTCACAGAGGGCGCTACCTTACAATTATTTACTAATGACAAAATTTTACATATACTTAAGACTTAAGAAGTGGTTACCGGAGCCCAAAGACATCTACAACGTAAATGCGCCACCCACCTTGAGATATAAGTTCTAAGATCTCAGTATAGTTACAACGGCTGCCCCACCCTTCAAATCGAAACGCATTACTGCTTCACGGCAGAAATAGGCGGGGCGGTGGTACCTACCCGTGCGGACTCACAAGAGATCCTACCACCAGTAATTACGCAAATTATAATTTTGCGGGTTTGATTTTTATTACACGATGTTATTCCTTCACCGTGGAAGTCAATCGTGAACAATTGTTAAATACGTATTTCATTAGAAAAATTGGTACCCGCCTGCGGGATTCGAACACCGTTGCATCGCTACGAATTCACCGGACGTCTTATCCTTTAGGCCACGACGACTTCACAATATTAAAATTAATGTAAATATTTAAAGTCAATATTAAGGGTAGTTTAAAGGTACTATGGATGACTTCATTGTGTAAAATTTTACTTCAGGGTTTTATGTATTTACATGGGACAGGTACATTTGAGGCTGTCCAATTTCTTTGCCTTGTCTTGTAGGGTGAACTTGCGGTGGTAATCAACTACTCTCAATTGCACTGTTTATTCACAGACTGTATCGAAAGAAACTTTTTTATAGGAATAATGTATAATTGGTACCATATTGGGACAATTATTGCAGAAAAACTAGAATGTGGGCAAGTTTTGTTGGTATCAAACATTCAAATCAGCGGGATATTTACAGAAGGTCAATTTAGCATCGGCTGTCCCTGTAAGTCTGTTTGGTTGTCAAGAACAAACATTTTCAATGTTACTGTTTCAAGATACATTATAAAATTAGGCTTCAAAAAGCATGCGTGGATTATTTTTTAATTTTTTATTGCTTAGATGGGTGGACAAGCTCACAGCCCACCTGGTGTTAAGTGGTTGCCAGAGCCCATAGACAACCACAACGTAAATGCGCCATCCACCTTTAGATATAAGTTCTAAGGTCTCAAGTACAGTTATTATTTATGCCATCTAAGTAGTATGATGTATCTTAAATTGATTGGTCCGAGCGAAAATGCTGTTTACTATCTTATTATTATATTAAATCCTTCCCATTGCCAAGTTATTTGGTGTTTATTGAACTTTTATTTTTTTAAATAATAATTGAACCTGTGGTTTGAGAATGAAAGCCTATGCCACTCTTGGCCTTCTAAATATTTCTTTACAAAAAGCTATCGGGTGCATTAACAAAGACAGTGCAATGAACTTGCTTTCACACTTATTATACTGGTTTTAATATTGTTATGATTTGATAACACGTTTTATCTTAAAAATAAAAGAATAAACCTATTTATACAAAACAACTAATGATTTAATAAATAAAAATCTTTATTATAATATTTGTAAATTCATTAGCATCAAAATCATTCTACCAACTTATTAGTATTCTGTTTTAGATTCGCATTTGCATTAGGTAGTTATTACATGTTTATATATTTTTTATTGTATGTTTTTTAGAATTATTTAAGTCTCTATCATAAAACGTCGTGAATATTTTAGATGACTATTTATTAATTTTCTTAATGAAATCGTTTCAAAAAACTCGCTTCGGAGATGTTTAGTATGTTAAATATACGAAAAGATTCACTAATTATTTTGAATGAAAATATAAATTAGAATTAATATAAAAATATTAAATATTAAATGTATTTGAATAATTATATTATGTATACATAATATTATTTTATATTAGTTAATCATTTATTAATGCAATTATTTCTATTTACAGAAATACACAAGTTTAAAGCCATCTGAAATGAGTTTGTTTTTCGCGGGTTTTTTATATTTAAAACTTACACTGTTAGAGTGCATCGCTGAAGTTGAACCTTTGGTATGATGTAGTGGCTGACAGTATCGAAGATATCTTTCGAAATGTAATTTTCTGGCACTTGGCAAGTTATTTTGGGTCCAGCGGTGGGGTGAAATTCACACAGGAATATACAACGAATGGGCCCTTCTTGGCCACATCCTTCGTAATATTTCATATTCCCATCCATTTTGCACACACTAACACTTGATTAAGACATAATTTCTTACAAGCCAGGTTCTAAAGAAAAGATTCACTAATTAATTTGACACACTAACACGATTGTAGAAACGTAAATAAAGAGTAAATAAAGAAGAGTAAACACAATCTACTCCTCACCGCGAATCGAATCAGACTATTTTCTTATTGGTTGGATTTTACTTTATATATGTATGTATACCTATTACCTACATAATCTATGAATTAGTTGGGGTTATTTCAGATTACTTCATTGACGTTATAAATGTCAAATTATATGTTGCCTAAAAAAAATATGCTACCAAAATCTTCAAAAGAAGCTTGCGATAGAATTTCGGAATTTTATTTTTCTCAGGTTTTACGTTCAATCAATTTTCATTTTTTTATACGGAGCGGAGACCTGGACCCTTAAAGCAGCTGATCGCAAATGCGTAGATGCTTTTGAAATGTGCTGGAAGAGAATGCTCCGAATATCTTGGACAACGAAAAGAACCAATAGAATAACTCAAGATCAAGACAAGAGTGTACATACTTGCCTTCGCCGTACACTTGAGTACTTCGGTCATATTGCTCGGAAAACACCTGATAGCTTAAAGAGATTTTTTGCGACAGGGAAGATCGAGGGAAAGAGACTGCGACAAGGTGGTTCGTTCGATCAAATCCGCACCACTAGAAATTCCATTCCACGAAGCCCTTCACGAGACTAATAATCGGAAACGCTGGAAACACATAACATAAAATATAATCCTGTCCTAACATGATGGTCAGGACCCTCAACAGTGAAGAAACGACGTGAGGAGAAAGACAGTCGATGAAGTAATGGTATACAATCTGTCACTTATAAAATTTCACTTAACATCAAAATGATCATGAGATCGTTCACAATTCGCAAAAAAATACGACTATTATTTCTCCTATATGAGCTTTGCATATATTTTTTTTACTTAGGTGGGTGTACGAGCTCACGGCCCACCTGGTGTTAAGTGGTCACCGGAGCCCATAGACATCTGCAAAGTAGACTCACAACACGTCCTACCACCAGTAATTACGCAAATTAAAATTTTGCGGGTTTCATTTTTACTATACGATTTTATTCCTTCACCGCGGAAGTCAATAGTGAACATTTGTTAAGTAGGTACGTATTTCATTAGAAAAATTGGTACTTGCATAGAGTAAGATTATATGGTACTTGTTAGCGGGATTCGAACACCGATGCATCGCTACACCTTCTTCTTTAGGCCGCGCCGACTCAATTTAAAAACTTAACTCACAAGAACAAAATATTATTAATGTACATTTAATCTTTAAATTGGTAGGGTTTTTTACTTAGTGTAGTAAATGGTAGAATTATTAGAGAACACTTTTTACCAATGTAAACACTACAATCTGATTTTAATAAAAATACAGTTTGCAAATACATATTAAGTGCAATTATTAAGTTTCTCAAATACCTACCTATTAAGTGTTTAATCTATGACAGTTTGTACAAGCAAGCATGAAATTTTATGCTCCTAATTTAATTCCTGGTTTTGTTTTATTCAAATTGTTATAAAAAAGAGTATCGGAGTTTCGGCAACCAACAATATTTATTACGGTGTTAAAATGGATGAAAATACTACCTTTAATGTTTTAGTAGGGGTTACTGGAAGTGTTGCAGCTATAAAGATACCGATTTTAATAAAATCCGTGTTGGAGTTACGAAGCGAGACTCGATATAATTATAAGGTAAAGTGAAGGTAAAAAAAAAACAAAATTAACTTTAGAAACATTGGTACCTGTCTGTGAGGTTTGAACACCGGCATCACACTGCGGCTAGCCCAATCTTTAGGCTAGAATGCACTATCCTTCACAGTGTTCATAGCAGAAATGGGTAGAATTATGGTACCCACCTTGTCATATGACCCTCACCCCACCAGACTTCTCTCAACACTTTGGTTCTTACAAAAGTATTAAGTAATAATTACAGGTACGACTAATAGTAACAGAACATGCAAAGCACTTCTTTGAGTGGACTGAAATGCCCTTGGATGTACTAAGATATGATGACTCTTCAGAATGGGTAACATGGAAAGGAAGAGGAGATCCAGTATTACATATAGAACTTGGAAAATGGGCCGACATAATGGTTATAGCACCAATGGATGCTAATACATTAGCAAAAGTGGCATTGGTGTGTACATAGTGTTTTCATGATAATTATAAATGAAAAAGCATACTTTTCAAACAATACAATAAGTTTTCAAAATCACAAATAATGTTAGGTACTAATGTATAAAAAAAAAAGTTTTGAACAAAAAATTTCATCTGAAGGCTGAAATCATTCAAGTATTTTAGTATAGTTACCAATTTATTTCTCAAATCTTCCAATGAATATTTCTGGCATATGCCAAGATAGTGCAATAAAGCATGTAAAACAGTAATGGTTTTGGCTATTTCTCTATCCCTGGATATCATGGTACAGCCACCTAGAATTGAGTGGTTATGTTAACCCGTAGCCCTCATAGTGTGAACGTCACCACCCACTCTGGGACCTGAGGTCAAAATCTCAGTTGTTTGATATTTCCTTTAGATGATTTATTATCGAGTATTGCCAGAACAGTTAATAAAACTCTACCTAATAATATGTTTCAGGGCATGTGTGATAATTTAGTCACATGTACAGTAAGAGCATGGAACTTCTCCAAACCTCTGCTATTTTGTCCAGCTATGAATACTAGAATGTGGGACCATCCAATCACAGCCACTCACATTTCTACACTACGAGCCTGGGGTTTTATTCAAATACCACCCATAACTAAAACTTTGATGTGCGGTGACACCGGTGTAGGTGCCATGGCAGAAGTAGAGGCAATTGTTGAAAAAATCAAATTAATAGCTGATATGAAAATGAATAGAACACAATAAGTAAATATTGGTATCTGCTTTTGTAACTGATCTTTGTTTATATATTTTTAATACAAATGTCGTTGTGAAGTCAATTTGGAAAAGTTTTTTTTGTAAATGCACTGTTAAAACACAGCATACTTTTTCCATCACTGTGACCAACAGCCTATGATACCGATGTAAAAATTTGGCATTGGTAGTACAATTGAATAAATGATTGTCAACGTCAGCAGAATGCTATAACTGTGATGCAGATAATTTGAAAACCGTTGAGTTTATTACACACTTATACATACATATATTAAGACCTGAATATATGATTTAGATCTTAAAATATCTAAATAAATCTAGATCTAAAAATTAGTAATTTGGGCAAAGATGAGTTCAACTTTTGTTTTAATTTCCAGAAAAAGTAAGTAGTTCCTATAACATACAAATTTAAAAGTATTAATGATTCTCCGAGATAATAGTCTGTTTTAAAAAATTGTACATCAATGAAAATTTAAAAGTGTTGGTAATTGCTCTCCGTGTAATGATGACTGATTTGGAATTTTTATATAGAATGTCTGAGATAAAATTGAGTAAAGTGTTTCAAGGAAATAATTATCTGATATGCAGAAAAGCATAACATATTTATTGAAATGTGAATGACACGCAATGCCCGTCGACTCTGTTGCTTCTCAGGTCTTGAGTTGTTTTTAATTTGAATTTTTTTTTATCATCTCCACATTAGTCTATAATGCTATATAGTCGCGATGTACTGTTATATTTTTTGTTTTGATGTAAGAACCGCAAAATGTGTATGGGTGCGTTCATTACGTTTAACTTTGTTTAAGTATTTTCATTTATTGACACAACCAGTGCTAGTCTCGGGCATATTGCAATTCGATTGGTTATGTCTTCGATAAAATACGTTGTTATATACAATTTTATTTGATGTTTTTGTAATTAATTACATTGTTAAATAGATGTCTCGAAATTGACATATTTTCTTTAAGTCAAGTGCATGTAGTCAGTTGCAGTTTACTGGTGATAAAACCTCTTGTGAGTCCGCACGGGTAGGTACCACCACCCCGCCTATTTCTGCCGTGAAGCAGGAATGCGTTTCGATTTGAAAGATGAGGCAGCCGTTGTAACTATACTTGAGACCTTAGAACTTATATCTCAAGGTGGGTGGCGCATTTACGTTGTGGATGTCTATGGACTCCAGTAACCACTTAACACCAGGTGGGCTGTCAGCTCGTCAACCCAATTAATCAATAAAATAAAAAAGTCAATATGACTGCATATATGGCATACATTTAATATCGTATTAATGAATTATTGAGATGGTTATTGAAGTAAGGTTTGCGCTAACGCTTCTAGTCATCTTAGAGGTACAAAAGGCCGAGCACGAATGACTATCGAAAAAGTATTCGTATCGCTATCGAGATAAAATGTATATAGGATTAAAACAGCGCCCCTACCGGCCGTAAAAAGAATTAATTTCAGCGGCACGAATTAATTTACTTTCGTTTCGCAATTGAGTTGTCACGTTCTCGAATCTGAAAACTTATAATCGAGAGCACGAAAATTGTTTTGACATACGGTAACATAAATCTCGAAGGCTGGCTGGCTATCGAGTACTTACTACTATATAATGTAATGACGCGTTTTCTTATCGAGGACTCGATACATTTATTACGAATTCGATAGATGTTCGTGCTTGACGTACAGATCTTTTTTATTGCTTACATGGTTTGACGCGCTTGCAGCCCACCTGGTGTTAAGTGGTTACTGGACCCTATAGACATCTACAGCGTAAATGCGCCACCCACTTTGAGATATAAGTTCTAAGGTCTCAAGTACCTATAGTTACCCTCGTGCGTTCTGGTTTGAGCTGGTGTACAACTCACATTTTGACCTCACGTCAAATGTGGTTTCTACAGGTTCTGACAACCGCTTAATACTAAATGGGTCGTCAGCTCGTCTGCCCATACACACAATAATAAAGCTTCGGGGTTTCTTGCGTGACGAGAGATCCGTTTCAGGAGACATTACTAGAAAAATTAACATTATTATTTAGATAAAATTTCAAATGTAAAGTTACTACAGTGTTTATATTACTTTATTAAGTTTATTTTAAATTTTATTGTGATATATTTGAAATAAAATAACTTTTTCATATTATTTATCGTATGATCGTTTATTTCATCACTGAATACTGTATCTACTAAAGCTAGCGTACATGCGAGTGAAACCCTTAATTGTTCGAAGACTGATTTTTCAATGGACATAATTATAGAGAGATAAAACATTCTAGAAAAGGATACAATGCGAACAAATAAAAGAAATAAATTAACATGAATAAAATGATAATAATTGCATGAATTATAATCGGTCGGATTACAATTTACTTAATGCCTATTGAAAAATCAGCGCTCAATCGAGTAAATCTCAGATACACGCAGCACATACAAATAACTATACAAAACGATAACCTTTACTTTTGTGTGTTCGTTTCTAAATTATCAATACAGGACCGGTACTGCGGTTAAATAATAAACATTACGAATCCATTGCCTTATATTCTGTATAAAATTAAGTATTTCTAAACGTATTTTTTTCGATAATTACAGATACGATTAGTGTTAGCCGAAAATAAATTTTACGTGAATCGATATTAAAAATAATCGATTAGCATGAGATTGCAAAAAAAGTTATACAAAAGATCATTGAAAAAAAAAGCACCAATACATTTTTGTGAAACTTATCTCGGGTTAACTTTTTTATTCAGTTAGTCGTGTCTGAATGTATCATGGTGACACCAACGAATCCCTTCCTTAAACTTTTAGATATATTAATTTCCTTAGTTTATTAATGAAACTTAATTAAATGAATAACTTTTTCAGGTATATGAATTTAAATAAACCCAGTCAATTAGAGCCCTCTTATCTAAAATACCTATTAACTGTTCATTAATTGATGTTATATTTAAAAAAAAAAAACAATAATTACACACAATTTACGTATTGAAAATGTAATAACGTTTAAGAAAAAGGTGTCAAATTTAAAATTACTTTATTTAAAGGCAGTCGATATTTTGTGTTACTAGCTCGAAAAAATCTAAGGTGTTGTTACCTGTTGAGAGAAATTACTGTATTTACAATTGGGTGGATTAATTTTAAATTTGACACGGCTTTCAGATATTCATTAAAAAAAAAACATATGTATTATTTACACAAAATTATCCGAGGTTTCAGATCATTACACACAAATCTACAATGTTGACATAATATGAACCGAGATTAAATTCTAAAATAAAATAAATGCTTAGATATTTGTGCAAACTTATGTCTAGAACCGGAAAATGTTCCGCAAATAATTACTAATTTTTTTTTCTAGGTAAATACTTAAATAACTCATATAAACAATTCGTATTGGAAACTAAATGAAAAATATTATTTTTATATAACCAGTAGACACAATGAAATAATAATACAATAAATAATTCGTAGAAAATATGTATGTATAAAAAAATGCACTTCATAATTTGTTTAGCTCAACATTTTGCACGACTTTTTGCGTTTGGACCGGTAAAAAAGTATAAAACCGTACATCGGGTAAACAATACTATTATAGGCACTCTTCCAGCGATTAATAATATAATTAAAACTTCAGTGTAGATCTGCGACCAATTTAGTAATAAAAATTTTCGCAAAATATTTTAATTTCTTGGCAACATCGTGCATTTTTTAAATTTTCATAACAAACGGTTTTTTGTGGTTTGTTCATAAAGTGCCGAAAATGGGGTAGCAAAAGATTTCCAGCCATTATATATTTAATTTACAGTGGAAATAATATAATTAATTCGATATATTATTACATTTTAATATTAGAGTGCCATATATTGTATAGTTTACCCTGCTCGCAACTAGGATGGTGTCATGTACTCAGGAAGAATTCATTAACTACGCGAGCTCAAAAACCAGGGAGAGGCAGCCTAAATTTATAGAAACACCGCTCACATAATTAACGGGAACCTCCTAATTGAATTTTATTCATTCATTTAATTGCATTAACTCAACAGAGGCAGCGATATCATCACGCATATAAATTACGTTTCCCAATTCTCAATATGCACTAACATACATATATAAAACTCATCTATCACAAATAAATTTTATTACGAAAATTCGATAAATGCATATAATATATTTTATATAAGGCGATTAAGTCCATAGGCGGAAATTTACGGTAATTTAATTCCGAAATAATTAAATCAAAATTTTCGACCTTACGCTGCAATGAAGAAAGATGTTAATAATCGCTTAATCTTTCTCTTTGGACTCAACCGCTTTCCGCCCATGAAACCAACGACGCATCTAATTTAAAAGTTAATATTATATTTATTATTGTACTATAATATAAATGTAAAAAACGTATTGCAATATATTTAGAGACACCGTTACATATTATTCTATAATATAATATAAAAAACACGTTTTCCCGAAAAACTTCTATAATTTGTGGTAGAAACTGTGCGTCTATAAAGGCCATTATTCTAGCGGGACTAACATACCGTCATTTTGCCATCGAAACATGGAGCATTGGCAGTTCAGATATTCAGAGCTTATATTGTCTTTTAATATAGTGTTCAAACTGGAATCTCTTGGGGTAGACCACATTTTGTGGATACATAAGACATCATGGCGATACAGTGGGTGGTTTTCCTTTGATGATACCAACAATTATTATCACTTATCACACATACAGTACTATAACCTCACTTATGCAAATTATGTAATTTTTCATGAGAAGCGTTTGGAAAATTCAACATCTTAATAAAATTACATAGTTCTTCTCGACTAAAGAAATAAAATGATAATATTTAAACTACAACTTTGAACGTTATTATAAAAAGCTAACTTTTTTTATTGCTTAGATGGGTGGAGAGCTCACAGCCTACCTGGTGTTAAGTGGTCATTGGAGCCCATAGACATATACATTGTAAATGCGCCACCCACCTTGAGATATAAGTTCTAAGGTCTCAGTATAGTTACAGTTTACTGGCGGTAGGACCTCTTGTGAGTCCGCACGGGTAGGTACCACCACACTGCTTATTTCTGCCGTGAAGCCGTTGTAACTATATAGAACTAAACATATCAATAATAGCTATTACAAAATGGATTGTCTCAAACTCTGTTCAGTTTTAATAAGAATCGCATAAGTGACATTATAGCTATGTATGTGCGTAATATGTTGATAACAGTGATATTGCCTAATAAATTAAGTGTTTAGAGCCGACAGACTAAAGCCATATCGATTTTCCATTTTCCACTACGAACTATTCTTGTATTTTTTTTACTAAATAGATATTTATCAGGATTCTGCTCATCCACGCCATGTCTGATGAACAAAACTCCGGCTTTTTAAATACTAAGCTAAGCTAAGCTTCGTAAATTAATTTAAAAAACGTGTGTAAAGTTTTTTGTAGCAAAATACTGATCGCTGTCTAACGCGTGGTTTGGAATGGAAATGGGCGTATCAAATCTCAAAAGGTTACGTATGTATTTTGCACTATTCTCTTTTTGGTCTGGTCACACTCTCCGTTCAATCGAATACGATTTACGTGCTCAGACTTTTGAGGCAGTTTTAAAATAGGAATAAAAAATTGCGGGCGCATCGCTCAAACTACGGTTTCGTGTTGTTTGTCGAACATAGCTCGGGTGTACTTCGAGATAACTTCGTAAGTGGATTTGATGAGTTCGCAGCGCTCCTCTACCTCGCAGTCGCTGGGCGCCACTCGGTACGAGGACCGCGACCGCCGCGCCGTGTTGCCAGCGTGGACAGAATCTACCATATTAGTAGAAAAATCACCGACGTCGTCCTCGATATTGTAAATCGCGATCGAATGTTTTTTGTGCACCATTTCGAGATCTTTGCGTTTTTTACATTGCGTGCTGTCGTTGCTGCGCGCGTTGATCAACCTGACGGCGTTTAGTACGTGCGAGTCCAGCGGTTGGCTGGAGGGGGGCTCGTATCATACGTCCAGTTCATCGAGTCCTTTAGAGAGTCGGTGCGAGTTGATGCGGCGGCGATGCGAGCGCCGAACGGCGTCAGCTCGTCTGTACGGTTCGCTCCGGAGTCCGTGCAATATGTCCTCTAAAGCTCCGTTGTACACTTCGTCCTGGTGAAGCAGCTTCTTTTCGCCGACGGCTTGTGATTTCGTTTTTAATTCGTTGATTACAGCATCCTGTAGGGCGGTAAATACTAATATAAATATGTTTAAAATTGTTAAAAATATGATCACTATGTGACACCAGATTAAATTATATCTTAATTCAGAAATTAATACTAAGTAGTTCCTAAATGTCTTAACGCAATTACTGTTAAGAATAAAGTAAAGCCAATTCAACAACATACATACCTATATACATTGATATAGGATACAATTTTATTTGTGTATTTGCTGGATAAGTACTTTGGCTAGCTTGATTTACGAAAATTATAATTATCATTTAAAGTTAAATAGAAAGTTTTAGATTCAGCATCTTACATATTCAACTACTCTTATGTCAAGGTAAGAAAATAGATAACAGCACAATACAAATATTCAAATAAAATAAGATTACCAAGCTGACATTCAAAAAATATAAAAAATAATAATAATTAACTTGTATTTTAGATATTAAATTTGCATAGCAAGATAATGTTTTAATTTGCTCTGGTAGACCAGTAATGTTTGCCAAAAATAATTTGGAATGCATTGCTGGTTGACTTATTAGAGAGTAATATGAAAAACGTAGTGGCACCATTGTCGAACCTCACTAGAGACCTCATGAGCCTCGTGAGACGGTCAGGCCACAAACGCGTTAGCAAAATAAAATCACATTAACTCCAATTATAACTATAGATATACATACAATATATATCGACGCTTGAAAGGCAAACGTGACTAAGCGACAATGCGTGAACCTTACAGTAGACTAATTTAAAGTTGAAATACCTGAAAAAAATTCTATTTTAACGAATCTAGCTGTAGTAGAATCTAGCTAGTAGCTGTAGAATTGAAATGATTTTAATAGACCTAGAAATATAATTTTTTTTGAGCATCGAATATGGTTATTGCCTACCATTTATGTACAAAGTAGTTATTGTCGCTTAGTCACGTTTGCCTTTCAAGCGTCGATATATAGACTACACGAAAATTTAAGCCACAAAGAAACGAATTTTCTATATTAAAAAAAAGCCATGCAAAAGTACAAATTTACAGAATTGTGCATTATTGAAATGTATTAAGTGATAATAGTAAACGCGTTTCAATACCCCAGTTCCAAAAAGACATTTCTCGGGGACAGTGAAGTTTATTTCTAAATAAGAGACATTGTTTATTAGGATTGGAGATATAAAATCGCAGATATGGTTCGTGTATCCATGAATTAATGTTTCGAGACGATTGATTCGTTTTAATGTACTTCTTTTTTATTGCTTAAATGGGTCGACGAGCTCACAGCCCACCTGCTGTTAAGTGGTTACTGGAGCCCATAGACATCTACAACATAAATGCCGCCACCCACCTTGAGATATAAGTTCTAAGGTCTCAGTATAGTTACAACGGCTGCCCCACCCTTTAAGCCGAAACGCATTACTGTTTCACGGCAGAAATAGGCGGGGCGGTGGTACCTACTCGTGAGGACTCACAAGAGGTCCTACCACCAGTAAAAGGAAGTCGAGGATTTTTTGGACGAAAACATACACGTCTCCACGGAAGATTTATTTTATATGTTTATTTTAAGGAAAATTACCCTCAATACCATTGAATTACTGCACTCAAACATTATTTCTCGCCAGTAAGAAATCATTACATTTCAATTAAGATTAAAGCATAAGCATGTTATAAGAATTAAAGTCTCAAAAAATGTGTGTCATGCGAAAAACGTTCATAACTATATGGTATTACAGACTAATTTCAAACGACCTTAAACTAATCGATCATTTAGCTCGTCGAAGCCCATCGGAACTGAGGTACCGATAATGTTATTAAAGACCACGACATTCCCTGTTAAGAATCCATGCGGTTGCAGCATTAAAAAATACTCTCTTCAAAATAAAAATAAAAAATATGTCTAATTTTATAAATACATTATACAAAATTAATTGTGCACCGATTTGTCTGCATATATGTATATATTTTTTATTTTTATATTATACACAGAACTAGAGAGATCAGTAACAAAAACGCCTTTTACCTTAAAGGAGTTAAATAATAAATAGAAATCTGTGATGAGATCGAAAAAAAATATCTGATATCGAAGAACACATATGAGATGATTTTAGATAAACATACATATTATAATCACAGAAGAAGAAATAATGAATAATATGATCCATCATTCGTTAAAAGACTTTTTATGGTATTATTTCGTACTCTTTTCCATACACGCAATGTAATTCAAAATCATTATTAAAACGGTATTTTTACGGTTAGTCTCGCAAAAGTAGCCTGCAAGGTACAATGTTTAAATCATGTGTCGTGCGCGGTCAATGACCTCGCGTGAGGTCTCACTTCACTCTGTGTGTTTACTTTCATTAGTTTATGATGAGTTAACTTGTGTTCGTAGTATTATGAGTGCTTCAGCGATGTTTCTGTCACACTATTATAATCATGTATAATCTATAATATACATATATTGTATATAATCAATATGAAATCTTCGAAGAAATATAGGTACTTATACGCATAGTAATTTTATGACGAAACGTTTGTAAAAAAGTATATAAATGAAACAATTATTGCCGTACTTAATATACACAAAAGTAACTATTCTATCAATTGCTTATCATTATCATTATCTACTTCAATACAGATATCATTTATGATTTCTGAACAATTAAATTAACTATCAACCGAAACGGGAATGAACACTATGGTTTTATTAGTAAAGGTGTTTGTGTATCCGTGAAACATGCTTTGGACTGCGTGTGGGGTTACCAGGCTTCATAATTTTGATAGACGTACCGCGTCTCCCCGGATCATGCTCCTAGCTTGTGCTTCGATCATTAGTCACTTGTGGAAATCGATATTTTAATGAACTTAGTGTAGACAGCGCTTTTTAATAGCCCCCAATGTGTATAAAATTCTTGTTTGTTATAACAATCTACTTCTATTATCACAGCTCTAGTAACATTTCAACAATCCTTCAATTAATTTAAAAATAGATCATTTGAATTCTACTTTAAATGTACTAAATAACTACCACAATCAAATAATTATTTAGTTATTGACAACACCGATCTCCTACTTCTACCAATAAAAAAAATACTATTTTTAAAATTGATAGGAGCGCCATCTAGACCAAAATGTTCCCCACTTTGAACCTATATGATTAAGTGTTAGTACATAAAACACACGCAAACTCAGGTGAATAGGCCCCGTTTTCGTAAGAACTTATAACGACTTACTCCTAGTCTTGCTAGGCCGGGCCGTTCTTATACCGGCTCAATATTTTGTCTCAATTGAGACAAGTGTTGCTGCAATAGGCCCGCGTTCACCGTCGCGTAGTTAAACCTCTGTGAGAAATGGTCACGGTGTTACCATCACCTGCTACTTGATTTCTACTATTTGTATCATCTATTTAAAACATGGCCACACTGTTTTATATTCTATAATTACCCAACGTGATTTCTTGTGCAATAAATCTTGTGTTTGATTTGAAACCGGTATAGTGTTATCAGAGTAAAAGAAAAGAAAAAAAATTAGGTTTGTAATTAAAGTGTTGCCACATTTTTTTTGTTCATTTATACCACAACCATGTCATATCAATGTATTTAGATGATGTTTACAAACCGTCACCGCAATGAAGCGAAGATGAAACTCACCAAACACACCAAAGTTATATTTCACTGAAATGATGACGGACGAATCCGAAATCGAAATGCAATGTTAAATGCTTTAAATAACTAAGAACTGAAAAACATGAACCGATTTTCTGGAAACGTGACGAAGTGAAATATAAAATTCCAAAAAAGAATTAATTAGAAAATAAATAAAAAAAGAACAAAGAAAACATTAGTGAAAAAATGTAAGTACAGTCTGCAGAACAGTAGCGAGCGATGCCTAAAATAAAATAAATGCAACTAAAACCTGATAACATTCGGCTTGGAAGCGTTAATTTTCGCGCGGGTAAGCTTTATTTACACCGTTCCACATCTTTACTTGGAAATTGTTATGCAAAAAAATCAAATATTTTTTTTTAGATTACAATTGACAAATTACTAATAAATGTTTTTGTAAAAGATGAATATTTAAAATCATTAAAAAAAAAAAGTAATTTAATTTAATTAAAGCATTCTTATTTCTTATTGACGCAGCTCACAATATCACAGAAACTTAAATATGTCAATCTTTAAAAACAATTTAATACACCATCGGAACGACTTCCTTTTAACCGGTGGTGTTGTCAAAATAAAATTTTGTTTTCGGAATAAATGAATACGTTATAAACATTCAATATGCACCCAAACATTTTTATATATTCAGATACAATAACTACAAGTTTGACAATGCGATTTTAAAAACATTTGTCTCTGATATTCCAAGTAAAGATCTATATTTGACGCACATTAAAAATCTGTTATGCAATTATTAACGCACTACAGCATGTGAGTTCTATTTCGATATTGAACACGATCGACTTTGTCGTAGTCGCTAAAAAAAAACGAGATATGCGTAGTTTTTGTGACCTGGACATTGGCAACACCGATTGAAATTTCCTGGCAACTTTGGCATTGAGTAATATGAATTCAAATATGGAACGGCCGCGTAGTCCAGCTCGCAGGCACGCGCACATCGGGCGCGCTCAGTGTTTGTGTAGGTACCTGTTGCTTTTTCTGGGCTTGCTTCGATTTGTTTGGATCGGCGTTGTCGGCCTGGGCAGCCTGTTCTAGCCGTCGGCGTTGCTCGTTCTCCGCGTCGGCTTGCTGAAATATCATAATAAAATTATGCATCATATTCAACACTGACTGTTGCAACATACAAACGTATTTGGTAGGTTTATAATATTCATTCTGGCAATTTGTTTACGGCCATCGGTAACTCGACCTTTCAGCCGAACTAATTGAATTTTCAAGAGAATGCAAATTTTTATCTTGGTTCGTTTTATTTAATTTCTTCCAATTCATTATAGTCCCAATTTAAGCAATTATCACTTCTATAGTGAGACTTTAGAGATCATATCTCAAGGTGGGTGGCGGCATTTACGTTGTAGATGTCTATGGACTCTATCAACAACTTAACAGCAAGTTGGCTGAGAGCTGGTCCAACCATCTAAGCAATAAAAAAACAACAAGATTTTTATAAATTCGACACTGGCAACACGGGTTTCGCATGAAGCCAATTGCCATATTAAAATAAGAAGTCAAAATAAGAATTACCTTGAACGCCCTCGTGAAACGAACGAGCAGCGAAAAGAAAGCGTTCGCGTCGCAGCCCCGGGGCGCCTCGCCGAAGTACTCCACGCACGACGCGAACGAGTCCTGAGCGACCAACAACAGAGAAACACCTTAGTCAGTCCGTACGTAAGCACACGTAACAACTCAACGAGTTTTTTTTTTAATAAATTTTACTGGTACTCGACGTGTTCGTGCTTGACACGTACAGATTATCTACACATTAATACGTAAAGCAAAAATTTTGTACACCTTTTTACGAAAATTGCACGGACGAAGGACTATGAAATTTCTCACACTTTTAAAGAATATAGAGGAGGAGTGCAGAATGCTAATATTTGTTTTTAAAATAATACAATAAAAACACATAAAATCAATAAATAAAAAATTAAACAGACTACCATATATTTGACACACACAAGCACATATACTCTTTTATTTATTGTTATAGTCTGTGGTCAAATTGAGAATAGATTAATATTGTTTGTCTATAGTGCAGTCTTGGTGAAATCTGTGATTATAGAAGTAAAGTCTTCGACAATAGAATCATAATAACGTTTAAACTTGTAATTTAAATAGTTAAGGTCTAATTTCAACTACTGGGGGACCACTAGTAAATACAAATAGGTAAAGGATAAATATTGAGTATGATTTTAACATTCTAATTGTCAATGTTTTTTTAATGTCACGTCTAATGTGTTCTATCTCATTCTCTCGCGGGCTGAATCCTATACATTTATGTGTTTGTGTCTCTATGGACTTATTTTTTCGTTTCATTGAACTCAAACTTGAAATCACAACGATTCTAAAGAGGTTTCACTTCGAAAAAGGTATAATAATATGCTAGAGGTGTTGTAACTTGTCGGCACGTGCCTGCGCGTGCTTGGTCTCGGCGCGCAGCCTCCGCAGCTTGTCGGCGGCGTTGTTGAGGAAGTCCCGCAGCACGTGCCCGTGCGCGCGCTCGCACTCGCGCCGCACCGCCTCCATGCCGCGCTCCAGCTCGCACACGTCCCCCACCACGTTCTCCAGCGACACTGGAACGTGGAGTGCTCGCTTTTGTACGTGAGTACCAAACTTATAGTAAGCAAGCCACAGACACCTACAGCGTAAATGTCGCCACCCACCTACTTGAAATATGAGTTCTAAGGTCTCAGTATAGTTACAATGGCTGCCCCACCCTTCAAACCGCAACGCATTACTGCTTCACGGCAGAATAAGGCAGGGTGGTGGTACCTACCCATGCGGACTCACAAGACGTCCTACCACCAGTAATTACGCAAATTATAATTTTGCGGTTTTGATTTTTATTAGATGATGTTATTCCTTCACCGTTGAAGTCAATCGTGAACATTTATTAAGTACGTATTTCATTAGAAAAATTGGTACCCTCCTGCAGGATTCGAACTCTTATCCTTTAGGCCACGGCGGCTTCCGTAGTATTTAGTATTACGACTAGTAGTATTTAGTATTAGTATTTAACTAAACGTCGCTAAATGACTAGCAGACGCATTCGCACGTAAAACACGCATTAAGCACGCATTTACGTACAATTTCAAATTAAGATATAATTTAATTATTTACAATATAAAAAAGTACAAATGTTTATTAGTTTACTACTATTATGCTGGCAAGAGTAACGCCCTCTGTCATCGAATATCAGAAACCAATATCAAAAGAACTGCAACATCGAGAACGCTCTAGAAGTGTAACGCCATCTATTATCAAATAGGGAAACTCATATCGAAAGGACTCGTCCTGTCGAGAACGTTCTCGATAATTGTAGAGTTGTCGTATAGACTATAAAAACGTTGCAGAGATGACAAGAAGGCAGTTAGTTAATCGGAACTACTCGAAGCGAAACAGCGAACGGATCACTTGAAGCGAAGCGCAAGAAGCGAATTTCGAATTGTGTTCCTAATGTGTTGAATCGAGTTTTAATTTGTACTTCGGTGAGAGTTTTATTTATTCCGAACCCCAGCGCGCAACACTACAACGTTTTATAAGCAGCAATGTACGTACTGGGAGACGTACCGGCGGTGACTGGTGCGCGCTGGTACTAACCTTGGGCCGCTTTATCGATGTACAGCAACTCAGTATCGAAGTTCATCAGCTCCGGGAAGTTCTGCCTCACGGTCGCCACGATGTAGTGCAGCAACGATATCCTCTTGTCCGTGGATTTCGTATCCATCAAAGTGTCCAGGGACTGCAGCTTGAAGCCGTAGGCGGGGCCGCGTTTGCTGCTGTTCAAATAGTTGCCGAACGCCAGGATGATTTCTAGAACGTTCCTCAGCTTCTGCGAGGACTTGACCGACGACGAGCCGGATATGATCGCGTGGATCTGGGGCGTGATCAGGTGGATGTTGTCGAAGAAGTTGCCCATGTAGCTCATTATCGACAGCTTCGCGGATATGCGCTCGACCTTAGCCAGCTGCATCAAGAACTTGTCTTCCTCTGTCAGCAAGTTGATGTTCTTCTTCTCGGCCACGTATTCCTTGTACGCCTTCTGTTCGGCCTCGGTGGGGACCATGCGCTGCAATATCTCCACGCTCTCCAGCGGAAGCTGCTTCAGGTCGAGGTTGTTGACAGCCGATATTACTCTCTCGACTGGGATGTCGAGTTTCCTTCTGGAAATAGCTGTAACAGAAGATTCGAATTTGCATGAACAATTTTTTATGGCTATTTCAGCTTCTCCTTGATGTGTAGGTGAGCTCACGGGGCTCAAATCGGGAGTGTTGCTAACACTAACTCTATTAAGCGGTAGGCAGCGGCTTGGCTCTGCCCGTGGCATTGCTGAAGTCCATAGGCGACGGTAACCACTCACCATCAGGTGGGCCTACAAGGGCAATAAAAAAAACTCCTTGCAAGAGCAGTGCTTCGCAGAATCTACTAACGGATCGGAAATGCGACCCACTGAGAAGATCCGGCGAGAAACTGCTGTGTCTATGGGTTAATATACGGACGGTGACTGGTGCTTGAGGTACCTAAAAGCACCAACAAATTAATACTATTGGGTCTTTGTTCCTGAATTAAAGAGTGGGGGGTGGGTGGGACGTACCAATATTCCGGAGCCTGGTGTGTTCGAGCAGCGAGAGCGTGTCCGGCCTGCGGAAGCGCTTGCTGGGGAAGGAGGCGAGCGAGTCCGTGTCGGCGAGCAGCGCGGGCCCGGCGCCCCCCAGCCGGAACCTCTCCTCGAACTCGGCGAAGTTGATGCGGCGCCGCGGACGCTCCTCGTCAAGCTCGTTGAAGATCGTGCCGCGGACCTGCGCGCCGGGACAGCTCGCGTCACACAGAAGCCGATTACACACGCGTATGTAGTAGTAGTAGTTTTATTTTTCCAAATGGAAAGGCAAAGGTATCACACCATACAGCCTAATTTTTTATATATTTTTTATGAAATATGATATTATGAAATGAAATGAAGCTGATTAATTTAATATGAAACATGGTATGGCATGGCAGGAAATGAAATAAAATGAATTGAAATGAGATGTTATGATATGGGATATTTTTATAAAAATGATAATATTGAGTTAAATGAAATGAAGAATTTGAGACTTTTTCAGTGGACCTTTTTGGGGGATCCCTAAAAGTTACGTACAGCGGTTTTGTTTCATATTCCCACATTTGTGCAGTTTCACAGATACTAAACAGTTAATAAACTACCGTTATTACACATTTAAACCTGAAGAAACACTAAATAGACAAAATAAAACAAATCACACAACTACACTCCTCGCGTTCCCGCCAAAAAGTGCCGTACTTATTACGTGCGTATTATTACTTCGATTAGTAAAACATACCTGATTAGGTTTCAGTGCGACCCAGTTCAATGTAGGCAATTTATATTTAGTGTCCACCTTCCTCTTGATGGTCATCGCGTCGGTGTGGTGCGGAGGGGCCATGAGTCCAGGGGCCGGGGGCGCGGGGGGTGGCGGAACGGAACTTAGCAGGGGAGGGGGCGGCGGCGGGGGCGGGCACGGGGCCGCGGGCGGAGGCGCGGGCGCCGGTGGGGGCGGCGGTGGGGGACTGGGTTTGTGGTCGCCGTTGGGCAGGGAGGGCGCCGGCGGGGGGGGAGGTGGGGACACGTGGCCGTTACTAATGCCGTTGCACATCGCGTGTGACGATATAGCACCCACTGTCGAACAGTTATTTAGGTTAAACTAAATTATCGAGTTGAAAATTAAATGTTCATCTTAGTTAAAAAAAAAGTGCAATCAAAATGGATATCAACTGTATTTTTTATTACTATTTTATGAACAGACAAGTTCAGGGGTGATCATATGTGGTTATCGAAACCGTCAGCTTGATAACGTTACTACTGCTGTCGTCCTTGACAGAGCCCTGGAACTGCGATACTTTAAGGCAAATATTTTTTTGTATAGAAACTAGCGACATCTTGTAGCGAATGCTCCTAAACTTATATGTTTAATTATTGCATAACTAAACACAGACAATAACAAAAAAATCATACAAGTCTTTATTTATCGATTAAATTTTATCTATTTGTGGTATCTGAAAATTTACAAAAAACTTCATTAAAAAATAATAAAATATAGGATAGGTAATATGTTACTGCCCTCTACAGGAGAAATGAGAAACTAATAGAAGCAAAGCCATCTAGTGGCCGACGCCCGTAAACATTTTTGTTGAGTGCTTGGGCTGCTTATCTCTTAACTAATTTATGTGTATTATGGTCCTTGAGATATGAGGTCGAAGTTGTTATATATGAAGTCGTCGTAGCCTAAAGGATAAGACGTCCGGTGCATTCGTATCTAGCGATGCACCGGTGTTCGAATCCCGCAGGCGGGTACCAATTTTTCTGATGAAATCCGTACTCAACAAATGTGACGATTGACTTCCACGGTGAAGGAATAACATCGAGTAATAAAAATCAAACCCGCAAAATTACAATTTGCGTAATTACTGGTGGTAGGACCTCTTGTGAGTCCGCGCGGGTATCCCATCGCCGTGTTTATTTCTGCCGTGAAACTATTCTGTAGTTGTAACTATACTGAGACCTTAGAACTCGTATCTCAAGGTGGGTGGGCGGCATTTACGTCATAGATGTCTATGGGCCACGGTAACCACTTAACACCAGATGGGCCGTGAGCTCGTCCACCCATCTAAGCAATAGAATAAAAATAAAAAAAGAGCGCACCTAGCGGCAAACTTAAGCAAACATTCCGATTCCATACAAATTTGAGTTAACTTTTACGCTATCGTGAACGTTAAAAACCTCGCGCACTTAGCACACTGAAATCATCATTTCCAATTGATAAGTGTCGGTTCTGAATTAGAAACGAACCCCCCTCAACTATCTACCGGAACGCTGACATATCCTTCTACAAACTAAACCGTAGTGCGTTTCGGTTTGAAGGGTGGGGCAGCCGTTGTGACTATACTGAGACCTTAGAACTTATATCTCAAGGTGGGTGGCGCATTTACGTTGTAGATGTCTACGGGCTCCAGTAACCACTTAACACCAGGGCTGTGAGGTCATCCACCCATCTAAGCCATCCTCCAATATATATTTTTTTTCGTCCATCCACCCATCTGAGCAATAAAAAAATATATATAACGGCTGGCCTCCCTTCCCGTGTGGGTTCGTAACATGCTTCAAGTTAAATTGCGTAGACTCACTGGAGGCTCCTCGAGGCAGCGACTTGGTGAGCGACTCGAGTTCCTGCACCTTGGACTCCAGCATCGACTGTCTGTTCCGAGAGTCCTGCTGGGCTCTTCTCAACGTGGACACCTGGAGGGCGCGGTCAGAGGACGTTAATCATAATCAGGCTGTTAGCCGGCGGAGACATGTATGGGAGTCATCAGCTCTATAATGCGAATCTCTTTCCAGCCCATAACGATTAGAATATTTTTATCACAAAAACATAATTTTTTTGTCATTAATACAACGGTCGGAGGTATTCAATCAATACCATGTCGAGGGATGAATGAAAGGGTTTGGTTTAAGCGATATTTGGCAACTTTACAGGAGGAGAGCTATTCAAAGTTTAAAATTTGGAAAAAATATCTCAACAACAAAACTTCTTCAGCTTTTTTCAACGAAGTAAACATAATTGAAGTTCAATTAAAAACATCGAACTGTTGATGCTGCTAATACCAAATAAAACGTACCTTTTTATTACAAAGATAAATGTCGCGTATTAAGCGATGAAGTGTGTATACTTATATATTATAGCATAATATAGCATAGTATTAGCATAGTATTTAGTATATAACATAATTAATAGATGTAATCTCGTACGTCCCCCTAATAAGGCGGACCACCCAGAAACATAGGCTTCTTCATAATTGTAAACTAGGATTAAAATGATTATTACACATGGAATACTCGCAAGAAGAAGTTTTCTTTTAACGAAATGTCGCTTAAACCAAATAGTCTTTCGACCCCTCGATATATATTTTAATATAAAAGCAATGTAATTTATCAGGACTAGAAAAATATTTTGTTCTAATTTAATTAATCCAGTTAGATCTAATTAATCAATACCAGTGCGCGGACTAAAGTTAAAAAAAAAAGTTATTTATCACCTCCTCGACAACCTGCCTCCTGGCTTCGGCGAGCTGGTCTCGTTCGTGCTTGACTTGCGCCAGCTCGGCCTCCAGTGTCGCCAGCTTAGCAATGGCCTCCCGCTCCAGCGCCGCCATCCGCTCGTGAGCCTGTTCAAAATAAGATATGACTTAAATGTCTTAGCTACCAGGTCATAAAAGCCCTTTAAAAAAAGATTCTAAGGTCTCAGTATAGATACAACGGCTGCGCCGCCATTCAAACCGGAACGCATTACTGCTTCACGCAGAAATAGGCGGCGTGGTGGTACCTACCCGTGCGGACTCACAAGAGGTCCTACCACCAGTGATTACGGAAATTATAATTTACGGGTTTGGTTTTATTACACGATGTTATTCCCTCGCCGTCGAAGTCAATCGTGAACATTTATCAAGTACGTATTTCATTAGAGAAATTGGTACCTGACGCCGGGATTCGAACTCCGGTGCATCGCTAGATACTAGAATGCACCGCACGTCTTATCCTTTAGGCCACGACGACTTCAAATCGATTCATTCCGCCGCTTCCCATCGTCGGTCTAATCATAACTAGTGGTCGCCATGTCGTCGAAATTCGACCGTAATTACTAATTTAAATTATAAGTGAACATTATCATGGTTGTATTATCATAGACTATACTTCTATAATCACAGATTACGACAAGGAAAATTACGCTATAGACAAATAATACTAAAAATACACAATCAATATTATTAATCTATTCTCAATATGACGACCAAAATTAAACAATAAAAAAATGAGTATATAGGCGCGTGTGTGTCAAATACATAGTAGTGTGTGTCATGATTTTTTTATTAACGTATTTTTATGCATAATATTGAGAATAGTATTAGCATTTGGACTTAGCACCTTCTCTATATTCTCTATAAGTGTGGATAATTTTATACTCCTCCGTCCGCACAATTTTCGTAAAAAGGGGTACAAAGCTTTTATTGCACGTATTAATTAATATATAGATTTTGCTAACTCAAATACAATACAGATGGCGTTAATGTCTAATAAAAAGTACAGTCATCAAAAAAAGTACATACTATACATTAAATAAATAAATAAATCCTTACGTGTCCTAGTTCGTCCTCCAGTTCGTTGACCTTCTCGAGGGCGGCAGTTTTGGTCTCGCTGTCCTCCATGAGGGCGGCGACATCAAACACGTTATCTAGATACGCCGAGATTTGAACCTAGGAACCGAATCAATTTTTTAATTTTTTCTTCTTATTTTTCTCCACTTTATCCCACTAGGTAGGGTCAGCACAGCTAATTTATCTCTTCCATTCTCCTCTATCAACCGACATCCCAACACTCACTCCTCTCTCTCTCTCTCTCATATCGTCATTCACAAACTCCATCCATGTCTTCTTCGGTCGACCTCTTCCCCCTCTACCTTGCACTACCATTTCCATACATTTCCTAGTCACGTGCATTTTTATTTTTTTTGTTTCTGAATATAAAATAGCGTGTTTTGATAACGAATTCCAAATACAAAGAAAGGCGGACAGAGCTAGTGATCCTAAAAATTAAAGTGATAACAAATACGTAATGTAAAATTCGCATTTAACTAATTTTTGTCCGTTGTCCGCAGTGTAAGACAAATAAAAAAGTAATTGTCACACGGGGTCAACGTCCTTAACGGAACGCGGCTTTGCATTACATTGCGGGTTCACGAAATACGAACTTGCGATGATTATTTACATAATATATTATTCTATATTATTATAACATATTATGTTTCGCGGAGTTAAATAACTTAATATTGTTTTCCATTCATTTTAAGCTAGCTATTTAGTTAATTTCAGCTTCTAGAACGGTCTCTACAACGTGTAATTACTGTTTACAAAATCAAAATATTTCCGTCCTTAATATGCATTATAAATAATGAAACGAAGCAATACAATGATTTTTAGAAGTGACAATATTAAGTTCAGCACGGTGACTACAGGCTACATCTGATACCCATAGGAAGCTGCACTGACAAATTTCCTTGAACACGCAAGCGAAGCCGCGGGTACCAACTCATACTATTACCATTTTAGAATTAGATTAAACAGCACAACGGCTTCATGGTTCATTCGATGACACCCCCCCCCCAACCTACACGCCCCAGTCCCCTCACCCCCCTACCCCCACAAACCTGTAGGTCGTCGCTCTCGCACAGCCTCAGCCTCTCCAGATAGTCGTCGAGCTTGAGCGCGGTAAACTCATACTGTAGATGCACTCTGAAATTCATATCCTCGACTGAGTGCACGATAATGTTCACGAACTGCATGCACGCGACCTGCGAACGTTGAACGACGGTGATTAGGCGGTTCGATTTAAAACGATTACAACTGAAAAAAAAAAAAAAACGTTCTTATCCTAACGTTTATACTAGGTTTTTCCGGTTAATTATTCACAAAAACGAAAATAAAATACCTTTTTTGGTATAAAGTTTGCTTTTGTGATAGTTATAGTAATACATAATACTTTTTTTTTTTTTTTTTATTATATAAATTATAATTAATTTTAATTCTTTCAAAACCGCGCTATGAGAGTGATGTGTTTACGTTTACACAGTGCCACTAGATGGCACTCGAGTCATAAACAACGATCAGGTGTTATGTACAAGCCCAGAAAAACGTCAAAATCTCACGAAAGTGTAAATACGATGCTGATGCATTTTGTTTCATATGTGGTCCATGTATTAAAGTTCAAAAGCAAACTGTTTCATGCTATGTATTTTTTTTTTCGTCTAATTACGATCTAAAATATCGAAATTTTATGCTTTGCAATCAAAGTGAAATTTGGTGTTGACCCGTGTTATCATCTCGCAAACGGGACAATCGCATTTACATAGCACGGCAGTCGCGAACGTCGAAGCCCACGCGTGGGCAAATGTCTTCGGACAATAAGTTCTCGTATCGAGCATTGCGATTGTGCCCATGTTCGAATTCCACAATTCCCGCAGGCAGATACCGATTTTTTCTAATCGAAATTGGACACGAATGACTTCGACGGTGAAAGACTAATACCATGTATTAAAATTCTGAAATTATAGTAACATAAAATTTGGGTAATTCCTGGTAGTACGGTATTTTTTGCGTACCCACACGGCACAATCATCAAACTAATATCCTAGGATAACGGACCATAATAACTTTAATTTTAAGTTCAATTTTGGTTTGACCCTCACCATAAATTCAATGTGAAACGCATCGTAATTCATGAAGTACTCCATGAGCGTGTGAAACCTCCTGGGCTCCCCCATAACCTCCTTGAAGTTATCGAAAGCGGACAGTATGATCTGGTGACCGCCCTTCACTAGGCAGATGGCCGCCAATAGCTCCAGCACCAAGGCTTTGGTCCGCAGCGAGTGGTGGACCAGAGAGAGAGCGATGCTGTTTATCGCTTCTCTGTGTTGGATCACCATATTGAAGCCATACTGGAAAATAAAAAAAAACAATAAAGAACTAGCTGACCCGACAGACTTCGTAGTGCCTCAATCGATAAATAAAAGACCTAAACTTTTGTATAAAATAAAATTAAAACAAACAAAAGGAATCCGTCGGACGGGGGACACGTCAAAGGAAAAACAAAATTGTTATTTTTATTTAATTCCGAGCATTTTCATATTTATCTACCTTTTAAACCTTATCTGGTCTTCCACAAATCATTCAAGACCAAAATTAGCCAAATCGGTGCAGTCGTTACGGTTCTTGAGTTTTAGCGAGACTAACGAACAGCAATTCATTTATATATATAGATAGATTGTGGACAAACCACACCTGATCGACTGGGTGGTGGCAGTAGTAGCGTCTCTGACTGCGGGGCGGAGGATCGTGGATTCGATTCCGACATCAGGCAAACATTCATATGATGAACAGGTTTGGTACCAGATTTTATTATTACTATTTGGCCAAAGCTGAGGTTCCCTGTACTATGGAAACTGGAGACTAATATACTTGCATAGGTTTACAAATAGCTTTGCTACCCATTACTGGGCATAGGCCTGCCCTTTTTATGCCAAAATGTTCGATCGCCGGTCATTCTTATCCACGTCTGCCGTGGTCCGACCTGACTATGCCATCGGTCCACATATACTAAGCACTCAGAGCAAAGAAACCCGTTCGTTATATTTTATTCTTGGTTGAGTCATTTTGTAAATCCGCACCGGTCCTCAATATTTTGGTCGCGAGTCGGTCATTCGTTCCGGTTTCAAGGGGCCAGTTATTCGTTAAACCAATTGAGATTCCGACCTTATGTGTCAAGGTGGGTGGAAGCATTCACGTAAGAGGACATTAAGCTTATAGGGTTATTTACATAAACATACTTGTAAATAAACATGCTTTAACAAAAACCGACTTCAAATAAAAAAAAAATACATTCCAAAACAAATTAATATACACTAAAAACAATAATCATCAATAATCATCGAAATCGGTTGGCGTGATATTGAGTTATTGAGTTATTCGTCTATTTGTCGCGCACATACTTAATGCAAATTTAACAATTATATGGTTTTCTCATGGATACTATTATCAGAACTGGACTAAACTGGGACCACACGGGAAGCGTCAGCTTTCTAATAAAAAAAGAATCATCAAAATCGATTCACCCAATCAAGAGATATGAGGTAAAAAACATAAAAAACATTCAGTCGAATTGAGAACCTCCTCCTTTTTTGAAGTCGGCTAAAAATCAATGCAGCTTGGTTAATATGTGAGGTTTTAGTGTGTGTTTAGTGTGATAATCGAATACAATTAAGAGATTTTGAGATTAGTATCGAAAATAGCGGCGCTGTTATAGCATCTCGCAAAACACGTTCTAAATTCATTTTAAAGCGACTTCATAATCACTATCAACAATCGGCGTGCTCGTTTTTCTTTCGCATGCGCATGCTTCTTGGGTCGTTGACGTTTCAAAAACGGTACAAATCGTGATCTTTTACTTTCATAAAAATCTAAATCACCTTATTATTCATAATGGCCCTCATGCACATGATGCAGACGTGTATGTCGTCCGTGGAAGCCCCCATGTTGAGTCTGGCCGCGTGCCTCGTCCTCCGCCTGGCGACGGCCGGGCTGGCCGCGCCCTCGATCTCCGAGTCGGCGCTTCGGGCTCTCCTCCTCCAAGTGGAGTTCAAAGTGGAACCCGCCTCTGTGGGTCCGCTGCATTCCGATGTTGTTGTGTTTACTGTCGAGAAACGATATAATCTTAAAGGTTTTTAATTCTTTTTAGACGGGCCTCACACGGCTCACTTGGTCTTAAATGGCAGCTTAAATATATAAATGTCTATTAACAATAGCTAAAGTGATTTACGCGTTTTTAAAACGCACGAAGCACTACAATTTAATAAGTCTTTCTCCGCATCGTCTGCCATTATCAAATGTAAAGATACGTATATTCGATATATCGGAGAAGATGGCAATAAAGATAAGCGAGTGAGGGGCTATCTAACACCCATCGAGTTTTCGGGCCGGATCTTCTCAGTGGTAGATTCTGCGAAGCACTACTCTTGCAAGGGCTAGTTTTAGCAAATTCTCTCAGATTGAGCCTTGAGCTTGGTTGGTTGAGGTAGGTACCTGTCGAATAGACCCTTAGACTACCAGCGAATTGGTGGGAGAAAAAAAACATCTATTTTAATTCATTTATTACAAACGAATTCACGACCCGCTGTTTAGTAGTTTTCAGAACCCGTAAACATCCCGACGTGTATACCGCCTCGCACCATATGCCACATACACGACGAGCAGGAATAGGCAGTGCAGTATGAACCTGTATGGATTCCTGTTCACTACTTACTTTGATTGATTCCATCGCTGGACTGGCTCCTGGCGAGAGCTATCCTCTGCTCGTGCCTCATCATGCTTAACCTGAAGCTAAGGTAGTCTATCAGCACATCCAATCCTTGGTTCTGTTCGTTGAGGAACTCTCGCACCCATCTGAATAAGTATCATTGCGATTTAAGATTATTCGATCAGCTTTTAAAGTTTTTGCGGTCGATTTCTCTCTTAAATATATTGAATATAGTGGTTTGGTTATAGTTGTAGGTACTCTAGCATTTCTCAACTATATTATTGTTTGCTGACACGGGAAGAACTCGTCAAATATTGACAGCTTAGAACCGACCTCCTGTCTGAAGAAATCTTGGCAATGGGGAAGTATGACCACTAGTAGATTGGTCAGGAACGATTCAAGATAAGGGGTGAAATTGTGGGTATTTTCATCAGATAGTGATTGCTACCGTCGCCCATGGAAGTTTGCAATGCCGAAAAGATAGCCGAACTGAGAAGGACACATTACAGTTACCAGAAAAATAGCGGAAATGAACACACGCCGTTTATTCAAGAGCCTGGACGCCCCTTTGGTTCGTAGCCGAGTGGTATGATTGAAAAAAAAAAGATGAAAAAAGTATTGATGAACTTTATTACTCCGATGGCGGTTAAAGCGATTGAAGAAAAGCGATGACGGAATCAAATTACGTACATATTTTTAATAAATGCGAGACAATCACCAAACACTGTATTGGTTACGAAATTCTATGTGAAAAGTTAAACTACTCACTCTATGTGATTCGTTCGTAGTGAAATCTCCAGATCTCTGAGTACCTGTGTTGATGTTGAATCGCCGACCATTTTCCTTTTCTGTGAATAAAACAAAACAATATGAATCAAAAGGAGGCAGAAATTAGGTAGATTATGTATTGGCTGGATACGGGTCCGCTGTTTCGGTCATAAAATTCTTTACTATTTATAGGTACAAATTCACGATTGACCTTATGTCATAGGATTTAATGACGCAAATACGATGTTCACCTCAAAACAATATGGCCCTCTCAAATCTACAATAGAATAACGGATGTCCCGCCCTTCAAGCTGATATGCATGATTCCTTCGCCGCGGCTAAATGACGATTACCATAGGACCGGGTACAGAAATCCTTACTGTACCCTATAATAATTGTAATGGTTGGAAATATATCGACGCTTGAAAGGCAAACATGACTAAGCAACAATAACTGCTTTGTACATTAATGATAGGCAATAACCATATTCGATGCGCAAAAAAATATATTTCTAGGTCTATTAAAATAATTTCAATCCTACAGCTACTAGCTAGATTCCACTACAGCTAGATTCGTTAAAATAAATTTTGTTTTCAGGTATTTCAACATTAAATTAGTCTACTGTAAAGTTCACGCATTGTCGTTTAGTCACGTTTGCCTTTCAAGCGTCGATATGCTTCTGTTGCTAATTTAAAAAAAAAAACACGTTTTCTGTTACGTCTATCCTTTAGCTAAAGAGTTATTCAAATTAATGTCATTAATAATCTGGCACATTGCAACTAGAACGAGATCGATTCTCAACGAACGCGGTACATGTCGTTCGCAGCACACCTGTCCATAGCTCGGGGGTGAACACGACCGCTCAATCATGAAAGCCAAGTGAAAGCAGAGATCATTGTTAAACTCAAAACGTTGGTTCTCAAACCTGTACTGAAACTCTTCGACCCTTTTCCGGTGTGTCTTTTCGTTTTTTGTATTCTTACACCAAAAAAATTTAATAAGTACACAAATAGTACATAATTTCCGATTGAAGGTTCCCAATTTTACTATCCAGAGCCCCAATATTGTTATCGATTTCGTAGTTTATTTTTAGAGCCGGCATCGTTTTCCCAGGCTCCCACTTTGAGAGTCGCCGACTTAGATGAATGAGATTACTCGATCTCCTTATAAGTAAAACAAACATTCCAAGCATTACACAGCACAAACGTAATTATTGATTTGATTAAACCAAATAAAAAATATTGAATTCACACGAACATGAGCAAACACTTTAAAGACCAAAACGAAAGGAAGGTAGTCACCGAAGCTAATTGAAAACAGCGTGATTACCGTAGGACATTTTGATGGAAAAAGACTCGAGTGCCGGTGCTGCATCTTGAGCCCCAATGATCTTGTGATTGCGTGGTGAATGCACAAAGAAAAATAAAGACGGTAGAACTATTCCCTACGTTGTGTGACACATACTTTGTCATTTGACACTACCTCTCAATTTTTAATTTTTCATTTACTGATTGAAAGTACTGGTGATGGAATTAAGGTCTTTGAGAAAATTAAATTGAAACATCATCCCTGCTTGTTTTTTTTATGATTGAAGGATTACTGGTGACCTTTCCAGTTTCACCACGACAGGTGGGCGAGCAAAGGCTCAGTTAGTCAGGAAGTGTAGGATTTGCTAACAGCTGCCCGAGCGCCTCCAAAGGAGACCTAACAACTCATGAGCAGCTGCTTCGCGAGTGACTCTACTACCGGAACGGAATCGCGACCCGCTGAGAAGATCCGGTGAGAGACTCAGCGGGCTGATCCATGGGTTAAGTTGCACGTCGAGCTCTTTGCCGAGTTTGACGAGAACGGTTTCCGAGGTCCCTAAGCCCCTGCTCCCAGTGTTAGAGCTGAAGGCGTCTAATGCAAGAGTTATTGGATCTGATGGATCCGTAAGCTACGTGTCTAGGGCGTCGACGGTGACTGGTTCCTGTGTGGGCATTCGTGACCACTTTGCTGTATCACTTTCTCTTGTACGATATTTCTCCATCTCTTTCCGCGTCTGGTGGTGTGGAGGGCATTGTGAAATGTGGAATCAAGAGCGGTGCGGATCTGATCGGCACCACTAAGTCTCACATTTTTCATTCTCGTGCTATTTTTTTATTTTATTTAAAGCAATGTTTGTCTAATCATTGTTATATGTCGTAGAATTAAATATTCTAGAAATTTCCATCAACGTAGCAGCTCAAGCAGAAACGAAACGAGCGATGGCGAAAGAGAAACAGTCAGGAATTATTATTGGACCACATTGAGAGCGTGACCTGACCTTTTGGGGTATGCGACCGAATAAAATTAAATACTGCACGACCTTTGACGGACGAAATGTAACATTAGTCACTTCAAGTTCCACCCACGACGTCAGCGCACAGCACAATGGCAATTGTAACGTTATTCATGTTTGAAGATACGTTTTGTTCTATACATATTTTTTAAACACATTACAGAGATGTTTAGATAGATGATATAGTTATTGTGTCCTTGTAGCAGGCAGACGAGCGTACGGCCTGATGCTGAGTGGTTACTGTTGGTCATGGACGTCAACAATGCCAGGAGCAGAGCTAAGTAGCCTGCTTACCGATATATACCTGCCTTAGCTTACCCAAACACGAACAGTGTTATGTCTGTGATAGTTATAATGGAGATTCGCGTTTCCCGTCTTCAGTAGATCAATAAATAGCGTCACGAACTGACTGATCTCATCAACTGACCAATTAAATGGCTTGAGAATGATAACTATAATCTCTACCGACAGACGAACGCAGCTCAGAGTTGTTTTTTTAATAAAAACCATTTCGAGATTGTTACTTCGGTACAGCGCATACATGATTAAAGAACTTTCGGCCCAATTGTTGTTAAGAGATTAGCTGAGCTCATATAGATGAGAACATGAAATCCGCTACCCAATTCAAAGTCCCAATTTTATTGTATATCGGCTGGACATATTTCTTAAGTCTTCGGAAAGCACGACAGCCACACAGTAGTAATAGACTGGACTGTGGCACTTATCCTCTCTAGTAAATTTTCCCACAAACCACAAATATATACGGAGATTTATGAATTTAGTTGATTCTATTTTTATTATGCATCGAATTCGTTTGTGAGAACGTATATATCAGGTAAGAACAACTAAAAAAAAATAATCAAACTTTAGTTATTAAAATCTTCATATCATCTAAAGTATTCATTTGGGCAGACATTTGAGTATATGTTGACTTCCGTGACAGATAACCCGCAGTTAGAGAACACGCTATTAAAAACACCGATATTTCATTATTAAAAATAAAAAAAACCACATACACTAAACATAACGAGTTGTTTATGATTTATCAACATTATTAATCGGTAAGGTCAAATGGAATCGTTTCTAATCTCTCCCAGACCTTTGACCGTGTGTATCTTTCATAAAATGTAATAGGAACAACCGTTAAATATAAACGGTGTGATAAATGACTATTGCCTTTTTGAATAAAACGGAATTACAAACTCAACGCCATTGATACATTAAAAATATAATTGGAAACTTAAATGGTGCCCTGATTGGACACGCGTCCGGAAACCAATTGAGGCATTATAAGGTGCGTTTCCTCAGTTATTCTTAATCCTAGACCCAGGATTCCAAACTGAGCACGTGTCTTATCCATCTCGGCTTCGTGCACAAAACTTCCTCAACAGAAACTTTACTTTGGCAGGGGCAGAGCAATACAAATAAAATACCAACGGTGCTAATTTATAAGTCAATAATTTTGTCAGTCAATAATGGGATTGGCGAAATGCTCATGGCTCATGCTATCTGGCGTAAAGTGAATACCCAAATATGTGTTATTACCCATCAAAATGCGAAAGTAGACACCCAATTTTGCACGAATCACCTGTGAATAAATGGGAACACAAATTTTTCTGGGAGAATTACCTTTTATGAGATTATTTTAGCCCCGCATCTGTAACGAATTCTGTTCCTTGATATTTTGAGAGTGTATGTCCTTCTTCAAACTATATTTCATTAGTTAAAATAAGTGATGTAAATCTCCGCGGTTTTCAAAAATCCAGAAAGAGCTCTTACGTATCACTGACCACACACCAACACGAGACAACTGCTCAGATTACATGAAAACCACATGCATGTAAACTATGCGTTACGAAATAACATTTCCCACGATCTCACTCGGGTTGTGACCAAGTCGTCCACTCTTAAATATGTACTAATAACCAACCGGCTCGGATATTGAAGTGGCGTCTTGACAAATATGCGTGGTAAAGTAGAAGTTAAACAGGTTCCCTTTGATTTGTTCGGTTTATTTGATTGTTGACTGTCGCAATATCGACAGAGAACTAAACTCACCGACTGCCGTGTATTTAACAAGTTGATCGTTTTTTAGTTTATCAGTAGGGTATGTTTTGTGATACGTTGTAGGAATCATGCGCCAGCTGTTATTCGATGCTGATATTGTTATAGAATTTCTCGATATTAAAGAAATCGGATATCCATCAATTCTAAAGAACTTGAAGAACCAATACCTCCTCAATTTGAGGGAAATTGTAGGAAATTGGCATGAAGAAACGAATGGTACTGATGGACGATGGGGTAGGTGCTCGCGGAAACTGTCGATGAATGGTTGAGTCTTCTGATCAACAACCGATAGGCTATTACATTGTATTCACGAAAGTTTTCCACGATGAAGGGATAGCAAGAAGGGTAATAAAAAGAGGAGGTCGAAATGTTGCATTTAAATTTTTCAGAATAAACGACATACCGATCATTACCACAAATTGAGAAAGCCACTATAAATACAACAAATGATGCGTCACAAATACAGCAAAAAAATAATCGAGTGACCAAATTCGGTGCGCACAAAAATGCTCATTAATCTACTATCTCCATTTGAACACTGACCGTTACTTGCGGTAATATATTTTACAATGTTTAATTACGGTGTTTTTTTTTTCTCGCTTCATCTATTGACCGTTCTGTAAGTGCGATTTTTTATCAACTAAAAGCTGCCATACACGGTCAGCTTTGCCGTCCAATTAGCGATCTAAAAGGCTTGATCCATCCGATTTGCAGTTCGATTATATTTCTGTATTATCGAGTTCTGGCGTCTGTCTGATACATTCCGATAGCTGCTGGGAAATAAGCTCGTCTGGCAAAACTTATGCCTTTAACGAAAGACCTTTAATCCAATAAAACCGCATGTGCACCACGAATGATCACAATCGCAGCGCCCACAAATGGTTATACAAGGCATTGTTTAAAACTAACGGAGTATATGGGCATGGAACAACGGAACATTATATTCATAGTGGTTTGTCTATCATTGGAATGGATAGTTGAAAGTTAAGTTTTGTTCGACAAAACATGTACTTCTGGAATTGAGAACCTAATGCATCTAGGAAATAAAGGCAGCGATTATTTTTTTGGCACACGCCACCGCAAGGTTGTTCGAACTTTATGTCAATATACTGGTAATATAATTTTAATTTAGAGCAGGCCTCCTTTTGTACTGCATATACACTGATAGCAGAGCGTATTGTACGTATAGATGAATTAAATCCTGGCTTCTACTAAAAAAGCAAACATACATTCCACTTATAGGGTAGGTTTGTCTTTAAAATGCAATTAAGATAAGAATAAAAATTGTTTTTTTTAGATGTCGATTTAGACTAAGATCCGAAGTGAAGACCTGTATCATCTTTGAAGGGATGAATCTATTAATTAAACACCAGGTGAAAAAATTAACGCGTTTCCCCTAAAGTAGCAGAGAATCAACTTACTCGATGACTCCTCGAAGCTTTAGGGTCGAGATATGTGCGAAGCTTGTTGAGGTAGTGTGTCGGTGAATCCTTCGCCTGCACCATATCTTGGTCACAGATGATCTCCCACTTCTTCTCCAGGTCGTAATTCCGGAGGAGTTTAGCTTTGTCGGGAGGCAGATCCATCGAGGCCTGAAAATGTGCGCAAAACATTAGTTTTGAAGATTTTAAGCTGCCATTCCTTCCCCATACGTTTCACATTTGGACATTCTCCCATTAATCCAACGAATTATACCTCACAGACTATCCAATTAAAACCACTTAATCCTAACTCATACAGTCTACATTTTTGTCATTGACCTAAAATTTACTTCTACACATTGTATGAGTCTGCACATAATGTGTTCATGAGTACTCAACGATCTTTAACCAATGCATTGACCTATTTAGTTACGAAAAGCTGTATGTGACTGGAAAAATCAAACAGAAGGCAATGTTAAATTACTTGAAGATTGTCTTGAGAATTTAGTGTTTAAAGAAAAATCGGCACGATTTCGTAATAGTACGCGACCGGGTCCTCTAAAATTTACGATAGCAGCCTTCATCACTGTTTCGTCATTCCGCACGTGAGTGATAGAATCGTGCTCATGAATAAGTCGGAAACCGATTTCGAAAGCCTGCGATGCCATTTTGTTCACCGGAGCACCGATAAACGGGATAGATTCTTAACTGTATCTGTTTCTTGGTGGTTGTTCGGCTTTATGGAAAGTATTTATGTATTTCGCATATCAACTTCTGCTCTGAATAAATAACTTGAATGTGAATCCGAGCTCATTTTAAATTGTTTTAGCTATTCATGGTTTTTTTTTATTATCTGAAATCAGCACGATGCGCTAATGTGTCATTTTGATTGTGTACTCTAGTGAGGGCAAATCCTCCTCAGTAGGCCATATACATTTATGGTATAATGTCCTTTCGTTTAAGGCGAGTAGTATAGCGTCCTGTTGTCAATACAACGTTTAGATTTAAATAGCTTGTTTTTTCTGGCCAGGGCCGAGTGTTAAATAGCTTGTAGGTCAATTATTTTTATGCCAACAACGTTAGATGAGCTTATGGCACACCTAGTGGTGGTTACCGTTGTTCCTTGGACATTGGCAAATAGAGGTGTATATACGTCGCTGGGAGCTGAAGCTTTTCATCAATTTTTATTCTTGCTGTCGAAAGCGAAGATGGCGAATAATATTCTATTCTAGTCTAGTCTATTTCAAAAGGTCCAAATGAATGCTTCACATCGTTTATTCAACGTAGGGTCATTTCGAATTCCGAATTAAACTAGAATCGTACTAGCCCTGAACCAGTTTTCTAGTGATTGGCCATTTTGACAATTTCTAACGGTAAACAATAGTTAGATACATATAATTCTAAAATAGACAACCGGACAGTAATAGATATTTCTATTTCGGTCAAAATGTATTTTAGCTCTCGATTATTTATTCATTCTATTTTATATAAAGCAAGACTTTTCTGTCTAATTGATTATAACATTATTCGAATTGTGTAAGCATGTCTGCCTCTCTTTCAACAAATCGACATGTATAGTTTTTTTTTAAAATGTACTTAGTGAGCTCGAGACTAGCATACATACAGGTATTTTAACCTCAAGAAAATAACGTGTTTTGTTAATTCAGGTATGCAGACGGACACCTGGTGGTCTAGATTTTTCTACACCCAATTACCACTTGAAGTGAAGTAATGAAGTGATTGATATAATAAAGTAATTAAACACTCGCACGATTTTCGTTATGGACATTAAACGGTAGGCAGCGGCTTGGCTCTGACCCTGGCATTGCTGAAGTCCATGGGCGACGGTAGTCACTCACCATCAGTTGGGCCGTATGCTCGTATGCCTACAAGGGCAATAAAAAAAAAGAAGCAAAAGATGTGTACGAGAAAAAAATACCCAAAAATTCACCTATTCCTCCATCTACCCTCATCCAGAAATGATTTAAAGAATATTATTTCTCAAAAACTGTTTCTATTCAGCGATTCAGAGACGACGTTTATCATCTCCGAGAAACCAGCCACATCATTATGTGATTCATAATAAGAGCACAGTTTGCAAATATATTAGTGAAGCGAACAGCGGAAACCATCATCCTTATTGCGACAGCAGAAGGTTTATTTTCTCGTGTAGCTATTCGTTATGCAGCTACTAGCTAGGTTGTTGAGATCAATTATATCGTTATGATGGGTGTTAAGGGGTTAATCCATATTTTTTGCAGCCGAATCATAAGTGTGTAATATTGAATCGTAATGTACGAAGTATAGGTAAGGCCTATTGTACACTTGATATATTTTCAATGATCCTAATAGATTTTGATAATGAATTAATATGATTAATAATATAGAAAATCAATGATATTAAAGAAATGCGATCATAAATTTTCAAATAAACAATTAAAAAAGATTTCCTTTCTTCTTAAGTTTCCGCGTTTGCTATTTTCATTTTACATTTTCCAATTTCCGACATATTTTTTTTATTTATTGCTTAGATGGGTGGACGAGCTCACAGCCCACCTGGTGTTAAGTGGTTACTGGAGCCCATAGACATCCACAACGTAAATGCGCTACCCACCTTGAGATATAAGTTCTAAGGTCTCAAGTATAGTTACAACGGCTGCCCCACCCTTCAAACCGAAACGCATTACTGCTTCACGGCAGAAATAGGCAGGGTGGTGGTACCTACCCGCGCGGACTCACAAGAGGTTCTACCGCCAGCCATTCGAATTACCATTTCGAAGCGCACTTTGTGACGGTAGGTACATTAAGTTTTTTGTCGTCCATTACCTCCAAACACCAGACTAAACCGTAAAATTAATATACATAATAAATAAATAATCATAAAACTATTCATCAAAAGCGCCATTACGGATGTTCACGATGACGATACTAAAATTTTAACATGGCATAAGTACCAACCCCATAATACGCAGCACAGTTAACATGAGGGCTCACTGTCATTAATTTCGGCCCATCCCGTCCTCTATAAAATTCACTTAATCAACTTGAGCGACTATATTAGTGACAATGTTAATGTCCTTTTCTTTTTCTAGGCTAGGCAGCTAGACATCCGAAAAAGGCTCTCTTCCATCTGCCGGGAACGTGTTATGAGCTTCTTCGGATACATCATGCGGTCTCCCAGACATGAATTAGAGAAGCTCATAATTACGAGTCGCATAGAGTGCAAGCGCGCCGTGGGCAGAACACCAGCCAGATGGTCAGATCTAGCAAGAGAAGCACTTGGTGGTAGTCTGTACCATCCAGTCCATGCCACCTATGATCGAGCACATTGGAAGTACGTCGCATGTGGTCGCTATCTTCAGTAGTGAGAGGGAACGATATAGAAGATAGACCGAATTCGCTCCCGTTTTCGTCAAATAGTTGTGGCACATTCGAACGGTGGTTAACTACTTTCAAAACATGAATTAAATTGAGCGTACGATTTTTTTTGTTTATTGATCGGTACTTTTAGCGGTATATACGGTAAGCAACGGTAGCAACGGTAGCAACGGTACTTGCTAATGTCAATAACAGCTGGCATCTATCGTACAAGTTTTGGGTACACTAAGTTCTTAAGATGAGAATGTGAATTAAGGCGTGCAGTTTACGAACAAGAACTGGAACTTTTCTATTGGTGGTAGGACCTCTTGTGAATCCGCACGGGTAGGTACCACCACCCTGCCCTATTTCTGCCGTGAAGCAGTAATGCGTTTCGGTTTGAAGAGTGGGGCATCCGTTGTAACTATACTGAGACCTTAGAACTTATATCTGAAGATGGGTGGCGCATTTACGTTGTAGATGTCCAGGGTTTCCAGTAACCACTTAAAACCAGGTGAGCTGTGAGGTCGTCGGACCATCTGAGATATAAAAAAATTAAAAGAAGCAGCTCAGTAGCAAAGCTTCCTTTGCAGTACAAAGTTTTCCAACCGTTTGTTTTTATTTAGTTGTGCATGTGAGCTTTAAGCCCAACTGGTTTTGGAGCTAGCTATCATACAACACAAGATATTCGACGCATGCCTGAATACCGCTTACGACATTTTCAAGATAAGCTTGTATGTGTACAAGTTCCGAACAACATTTAGACCGTCGGTCTACCGAGCAATATCACCCGCTCGGTGGAAGATCTTCCCTTTTTCGTTAACTCCCATATGGTGTTAGACGCCTATCTTGACACTATCTACTAACATTATCATATCATTACTAGCACTATCTTGTGGAAAACGTGTATTTCTTTAACGGAGGTTCGCATCGAGCTCCGTATCTTTTTTTTTTATATTCCGACCTATGCTGATAGCCTTGATAGGCTATTATAGCTTCGCCCTAACATGTAGGTGAGCTCACGGGGCTCAAACCGGAACTGTTATTAACACTGGCCCTAGCAAGAGCAGTGCTTCGCAGAATCTACCACCGGATCGGAAACGCGACCCACTGAGAAGATCCGGCGAGAAACTCAGTGGGCTAAACCGTATCCATGCCTATTCACCCTCATGCTTATGACGACTTATTAATTATCGTCTGCTTATAATGAGAAAAAGTATAAAATCGACAATATTGGGACATTAAAAAATAATAATTCTATCGCGCCCTAAAAATATTGTACGGGAGGGGTCTTTAACTGTTTAACTTACGTGGACTGATCGATGAAAGCCCACTCAGACTTAAGTGGTTCCAGGTATTAGTGAAGTATATATTCCATTATTTCCTTGAAGCAGTAATTGTCGTATTATCGTAACACATACATGAACATACGAGTCCTAAGCTATCATTGATATTTCACGTTTACATGATAATCTAATTGAATTATTTAAAAAAAAAAATATTGCTTAGATGGTTGGACGAAGTCACATCCTACCAGCCCATAAGCATCTACAACGTAAATGCGTCACACACCTTGAGATATAAGCTCTAAGGTCTCAAGTATAGTTACAACGGCTGTCCCGCCCTTCAAACCGAAACGCATTACTGCTTCACGGCACAAAAAAGTAGGGTGGCGGTACCTACCCGCGCGGACTCACAAGAGGTCCTACGTAATGACTGCGTAATTTAAAGCGATCTTAGTATTTGAATTAGCTTTAAGTATTTGACGGGGCCAAGGATGGCTGAGCGGTAGTTCCGTCATCATTCGCATTCGA